GATTTGTGATGCGGTATATTTTTATCAGTGTTGAACGTAAACACACGCCTTTTCCTGTCTGGGTCTGGAGATGGGTTTTGGAATTTCCGTTTTATTTAATTTAAACAAAAGCGGTTCGAGAGGCTTCGTATAATAGGTTTTTACATTCGGACTGTGTTTTTTTTTGTAGATAAATTAAATTACGTTATATTTTGCAGGGTAACACGATTTATCTATTTCTTTGGTACTCTTATCAGACAAGTAATTTTTGCAATCAAGCTGCAATAAAATTCTACTTAAAAATTAAATTACAGGTTGAATTCACGTAGTTATATTACACTTAACCTACAGGTTGGTTATTACGAAATTGTCTTGAGAAATTTCTTAATAATGTGAGAACAATTTAATACTTATTATGGGCATGTTCAGACAAGTTTAAAAACGGTGAATATTTATTACCAAATCGATGCAAAATTCGTAACTAAACAATTCTGAGTCGAAAGTACTTGCTTTGCATTTCCTCATTATCCCCAATTACCCCAATGCCTAGAATGTTTATCTACGGTTTATCAACTTCAAATCTACTGTCTGGAATTCAATAAGACTCATTTAGTTACTCCCTCGACAATCGTTTTGGACTCATTAGGGTAGCCACCTTTTTATAACTCTCTCTTCTGTAATCTACAAGTCAAAACTTGTAGAAGTGAATCGACCTTACTGCCGGTGGACGAGCAAGGACGAAAAACTCGAGGAAACGATCGTCGGAATCGCGGCGACGAACTCCAAATTATTCTAAATAAGCACCGTTTTACCGCCCAAACAATGAAGGTGATGTGAGTACATGCATGTACTCATTGTATCATGTTCACCGGTCCCGCATGTCTTGCGATAATGGACAATTATTATTTGATGTTCGAACGCTCGGGAATTTTTTTATTATTTATTGACTTCTTGATTGATTTTTAAACTCGAATTCAATCGTTTGTTTAATCTCTTGATATTTTATGAAATTCCTTTTACGTTTTACATGTCTGCTAGAGCTTAAAACGGTCATCATCGGGTGGTCTTTTCCATTTGACACGCCAGTAAACATTCGGAGCATTAACTAGAATTCACTCTATCTCGGCTTTCAGTTTATAATTTTGTAATATGTCGTTATCGTTCTCAGAAATACCTTTTATGAAGATAAATATATGGTAATTCCATTATGCAACGCCGATACCTTTAAAATATTTATCTTTATATCGGTACACATTCGTAATCTCTTCAAGCCGAATTTATTGTTGTTTACATAACGTTTGTGAAAATACAATTAATACAGGTTAAAAAGTTGTTTTTTGCAATAAGTGTTTTAGGTAGGTACATTTAATAAACTCTTTTCACGACAACGAAGCTCGGCTCGAAAACAGGGGTCAACGTCTCACGTCGAGCAATTAATGATTGTTCCGATGTTTGCATTTAATTTTGAAAGAATGGCCATCTGTCACAACTATTGTTCATGTTTGGGGACGTTTTCGCGTCCAAGGCCAACGATTTGGCGGGCGGCCAAAAAATAAACCATCCGAACCGATGGTAAATACGCATATTCGTGCCGTTGATATCTCTCCAATTCTAGAATTTCGTTTGGCGACAATAAAATATTTTTACGATTAAAAACTTTCGAATGGCTATCTAACTAAAATGTAGCAGAAATGTATTTTGTCGAAAGCGTTTTGGTAATTTTTTTTATCAACTATGATATTTGCCAATACCCAAATAAATACCTCCAAACACCTATTCATTTTGCTAGACTATTAAAATTACCGTGTTTTTTAGAATAGTAAATTTTTAGTAGTAAAATACCTACGTGTATTAAACAAAGGTCGCGCAAGGCTGGAACTCGATGCGAGATGCTTGTTGAGGAAATTAAAATTTTAACGAGATTTTACCAAGAAATCTGACTCACTATTGGCACGAGGAATGTTGTGAATGAAATACCTAACGAAAATAATAAGTACGCAGCACGCTAACGTTTACTCGAATTTTAACGAGAAACAAATTTGTCGGTTTAGTTTATTAATCAATTATATCGCTTGAACATTAATTTTTTTCGATTCGAATAAATATTTTAACACGGATATCTATTCGATTACCTTAAGCTATGTGCGTAGTAATGTGTCGACGGAATTTGTCGGTGTCTGCATATTTCGAAATAATCGTGAACAAATACGATGCATAATTTTCATGAAAACGACATTCAACAATGCCGAACTCGTTGAGGAAAATCGGAACATTCCGGTCGGCGCGGGAAAAATCAGGCTAGTTTTCGGCGCCCCCGTAGAGCAGGCTTACCTTTTGCTCGGGTATGTAAAGTATTTCCGATTGTTGAATGTGCTTATTATGCGTGAGTCATCGGCGGAACTGTACCAGTGTCTGCCGTCTCCATACATTCTTCTTCTTCTTCTTCTTCCTTTTATTCTTTTACCTACTCAACTTGTGACCGGACCACTACCGGACTTTGCTATTCATTGGATACCTAAAGATTAAAAAATAGGTTCAATAAAGTGCTAAAAAACTTTAATAACTACTGTATAGTAACACATTTAGTTAACCATGATAAATCTTCCGAATTTTGTGGTTGCTCAACATTAGGAAACCTCAAAAAAGTAAAATAATTTGTGGTTAGATGATGCTAAAAATACAAACTTATTAAGACAAAGTTATGCTTTTAATATTATTTTAACTATACTACACTTTTTTATCATATTTTTCCACCAAAATAATATTCTTATTTGGTTCATATTTCAAAATTTTCATATTATTTACATAACTTAGTGTGTAAATTTTTTGGTGTTTTAACAGCGCTAATTTGCCTTTCATATTTATATTTTTATTTTATTATAATTTAAATGAGGGTGCACTCCCTCATCAATTTATTAGGTACATTTTTATCTGCTTATTTATCTTTATTATGAACTTGATCTTATTTTAAACCAATTTCGTAGATACTTTTCTAGACCTTATCGGGTATCTCATTCCGATGCAATTTTTTGGAAACAATAAACTCTTTACAGAGAAGGCCTTGTTATTTTTTCATTCACACCTGCAGCTGATAACTTTTATTAGCGCTAAATACCTTGGAATATTAAATTACAACTTACTGGCGTATTTTGTCGACTTTATCTTTACATTCCTTGCGAGTTTCTCGTTATTGGCGATGTTGTCTTATCGTCGGAAAATTCCGGTATTTCAGGAATTTCACAAAAATCTGAGCTAACTAAATTCGAAGATATTTTTTACTTCTGAATGCGATCATAAGTATACAAACTGTAGTGGAACAAAAACGTATTTATGAATAATTCTTAATACTTAATTAAGTTAATTGGTATAGTTAATTTTCGCATGAGCATTTGCGAAAACGGATTTCAAGTGTCAAATAGAAACCGACTCGGGGCACTTCAGTTAAAAATAACACTGGCGATGTGCGCCACCTCTGATCTTAAATTAAACCGTTCGGTGGGCGACGAATGAAAATTTCCCATCGCTAAGTTTTCATTTTTCGACCGGTCGAGCCTCGGAAAAGCTGTGCTCGGCTTCAAGTTTTTTTTGTTTTCATTTTCCGATTTTTTTTATTTCTCTAACGAACGAACGACAATACCGATATCGATCGGTATCGGTACATCGATCTAAACGACGAATAACGATCGAAGTTTCATTCATAGTATTTTTCTAAGTGAATTTTAACGAATAACTACTTCTTTTCCTTCTTATTGCGATTATCGAAACGAAATGGCGTTCTTGGATCAAAAGGAGATCACTCATTTCTTAGCGCAGGAGTTATTTTATCAACAGGTAAATAGTGCTTGCGAATTTGATTTTTTGTCCGATTTTTCCTGGTTAATTTCAACTGAATTAAGTATTTGGAAAATTGAGTGGAATTAATTCATGAATTTAACTAAATTAATTAACTTTACTATCTACTTTCTTGTTTACAATATTTCTTTAATATTGGAGTAGTTTATTAATTCGTTGTTTTTGATTTATCGCATAATAAATCCAGCTACCTAAACATTTTTCCGGTATTTTACATTGCTCATATCTATTTTTAATTAATAAATATCGGTTCGTTTTCTCTCGATTTTTACCTTACGATGATTTTGTTGTTATTTGCGAATGTTCGAGCGATAAAGTTATCTTTATTGACTTAACTGTTGTTGTACATTCGTAATGTTGATCGCGTATCTCATTCCGCGCTATTTACCGAGAAAACTCCGAACGGAAATTCTTTTTTTTCCTGGACATCCTGTACCAATATTCTAGTTAACGCAATTTTAGAATTCGCCGAATTAATTCATCTGGATCCGAACAAAAAACTAGTCGTTTTGTCGCATGCATATTTATTTATATCTTAAAAAACATTAGTGAACTTTTATTTCCTACAAGTTAACGGGCTATTTATAAGCGTGAATAATCTTACGTACTTACTTAAACGTGTTGCTAATTTTGAAGCACGTCGGTCGGCAACTAATAGTAGTTTCTACGTTCGTTACGATTTGTTTTTTTGTTTTTGTTTATTTTGCAATTGAGTATAAGTTTCGCTATAATGTGTTAATTAACGTTCGATTATTAATGTCCATTGCGGCTCAATAAAATCGGAAAGACTAGTTTATTTTTCGCGATAATTATGGTGTTTATAATTGACAGAGACGCAGAAGATACCTTTAAACATGTACGAGTACTATTTGCTTCCAAAAAAACGGTTGATATCTTATGTAAATGATTGTATCATCCAGCTGTTTAGTTTCCCATTATTGTTATTAATTATGCATAAGTGTGGTTCTGTTTTTAACTCGCGACATTGTGTAATTTTCTTCAGTTTACACTTAATATGTTGCTCGGTTTGGCTGCAAATTATACAATTTATACGTCCTTTACCTGCTTCTCAATCGTACAACTCTCTTGTTTGGTTCCTTCTCCCAATTCATACCATTCCTGGTCGTTTTGATAATAAAATTAATTTGTTGTATGTCTTTTTTTTGCAGTTTATAACTCTCGAGGGCCTTAATTCAGGAGTACCAACTCGAACAACACCGACTCTAACACCAACAACTCTACGGAACATCGAACAGACGTTCATTGAATTGCAATCGAAACCAGAAAGTCATGAAAACGAAGCGGGTTTCGTCCCACCTTTAGTACATTCGATCGGTAAGAAGTTTGATCATAATTTGTGCTATATTAAATTTCTAATCCACTATTTCCTGTACTTATCCCAGCGTTTTTTGCTTCTGTATAAACTTATATAGCGACTTTTTTTATATAACCAATTGATCCTTGCAGATGCTATTGAAAATTGAAAAATGTTGTTCGAGGTATTAACAATGGCGCAAAGTAAAAGGCGAATAAAAATGCACCGTATTAGGTTAATGCTCATTGGTTTTTAAGCGCTGTTCTGCGGTTAAGAACAATATGCTCAGCCTTGGCAAGGAATAAACAGCTATTCCTTTGTTGCGACTGCATCCTTAATTGGATTTTCCCATAGTTATTTGCATTCAAACGCGATTTTTCCTAATACGTTAAAAAAAACAACAATCGCATTCCATTTTATCGCGAATTACTCCAAACTATCGTTTCATTTTAGGCCACAATCAGTACATCTCCGCTTCGGACGCGGACAGTTTCTCCACGAAAAACCAGACGATGTGGCACAGCGGCAACATATCGCAATCGAGTTCGGATTGCGAGACGCGCCTCACGCCGCCTTTGGGCCAGAAATCCAGCAACGGCCAGGCCAGGAGGAACATGGGGGGCAGGAAACCCACCAAGGACCTCAACTGCAGCCCCGAAGAGGAGGAACGGCGCAGGATCAGGCGCGAGAGGAACAAAGCGGCCGCGGCGCGGTGCAGAAAGAGACGAGTTGATCACACCAACGCCCTGATATCCGTAAGTTTACCAGGAATTCTTCATGTAGTTGTATTATTAATCGTTTGGTTTTTTTTATAGGAGACTGAAGATCTGGAGAGTAAAAAGCAGGCGTTGCAGGAAGAGATGCACGATCTCCAGCAGATGAAAGAGCATTTGGAGTACATTCTGGAATCCCATAAAGCGAATTGTCGCTTAAGCAATCAAAGTCCTCCCGATATAAAGCCGTACGTCGATCAATACAACAACGAACGCGTTAAAACCGAGTACATAGACCAACCGATGAACGAGATCTTCCTGTTTCCTTCACCCACGAAAAAGGTCATGCTGAGCTCCACCGTGCCAATATCGAAACCGGCCCGACCGAATACCCTAAACGTCGGCGCCACGGCGCCGAAGAGCGTCTCGGATATCATCGGCCCGCTCATTTCGACGCCCTCTAACGGGCTCACGTTCAATTTCGATTCTCTGATGGGCGGCGGTACAGGCTTGACGCCCGTCTCCGTTTCCACGCCTCTTGTGCCATCGTGCAGTATCCAACAGCGGAATATTCCGGTTAGTATGGCTGATTTGGTGTCCCCAGACGCTTGCGGGCCGCCAAAGCTCGTCAGTCTCTGAGACCTGGAATGGGACGTTTTTGTTGTGTGATGCCTTCTTTAGTACTTTTCGTTTTTTTTACGTTTTTTCGAGAGAAGAATTCGACATGCCAAAGATTTATTCCTGTAGCATATTTTGATAAAGCGGTACTGATGTCTGTTGTTATGTGTATATCCGAGAATAGTATTAATGTATTGGTTTTTTTTACGTGCAAAGCGAAGGTGGAATGTTCGCATCGCAAAATTATCGAAATGATTTAACAGTAACTCAAGAACGTACTTGATTGTCAGTATCAGAAATTCCATCGCAACGATCTATCTAGTCATACATTTGTTAATGTTGGTAATTAAATTATATTTTTGCAAATTTTTTGCATGTCCATTCGTCTTTCGTGAGATTTTTGCGTATATTTACGAATATTTGTTATTTTAGGATTCGTAATACTTAAGAAAGCTTAGCCGAACAATCAAAGTTGGACTGTTATTAAAAATTTGAACAACCCCCCAGGGACGTAATTTGTCCGACAATTTCCTTACCATGTTTAGTCGAAGCGAACCAAAAAATTTATTTATTGTTAAGAAATAGTGACGTCTTTTTCTGTGTCATTTAGCCTGTACATTTATTTATTCTTAAATAGTTTTTTTACGAACTTTTCTCCAGTACGACAAGAATTTAATGTAACAATTGTAAAGGTTAGTTTTGTTAAGTTCAAAATTCAAATTGTTAATATATTTTTTTTGAAAATGAGTACTAAACATGGACCAATTGTTGATTAAAGTGCTCAACCAGATTCTTTCATTGTGCTCCAAAAACAACTATAATTATATTTTGCTACGAAACCACGAAATGCCTTTTTTAGACTTGTATAAATAAATAAAAAAAGAATCGTATTTTTCAAATAATTAATATTCCATCCATTACTTTTTTGTAAACGAATTTTAAAAATATATATATGAATATATTTTTTGATATAGGAGTGCTTCTCAAATAAAGCAGTTTGTGTTATTAATTATAGGAATTTACAGTTAATTTGTAAAACGGGGCTGTTCAAGATGCGCACAAATAAATAATATACCAAGTTTTTTTAACCGTACTTTTTTGCAATAACGCGCATTTTGACCCGTCTTGTATATTTATAAAAAAAACTAAAATTATATAAATTTAATATATTGATAATATATTTTTCAGTATACTTAGCAATATTAAAAGGTTACAGTTTTTTGTAACGTGTCAATTTTATAGTAGTTTTTGTCAAACTTTTGTATTTATTTGCTGTAATGCTATTATAAGAAATACATTGAATTTACTATTTTCTAAATTATGTTTTATTTTGTTTATTTATTTATTTTCCTATCCCTTTAATTGGATTAAAGGATTTATCCTTTTAGAAAATGAACATTCACAGAGTACGAATACATAGACTGTGGTACTAACTGCAATGAGGGTATACAATTTTTATTGTCTTAAATAATAGCAAATCTTTCTAAAAATATCTTTACACTCGATTGAAAGCTCGGAAGGGGCTCCGCCCCTTTACCCCGAAGCTTAAGCCACAGTTAAATAATAAAATCTCACTCGCTGCGCGAGCTTGACTTATTCGCTCCATTATAACGATGAATGACGGCCTCACGGCCTTCTACGCATAGACAGTTCAATAAATAAGATCTCTTCCACCAGCCAACTGGTCATTCTCGTCTTGTTTGTGACAAAATTTAAAAGAGAGTAGGCTTTTCCTTCCATCTACATAATTCCACCATTTTTGCATTGACGCATTTTGTTCTTGGCGATTATTCTAATCGAAACTCAAGAGTGGAAAAGTTAGTAGGTGTGTGCCATTAAAGCTAAAATTAAATTATACTTAATGTAAACGGACAATAATTTGTCGTTTCCTTAATTTATTTTTACTTTAATATCCTCTCGTTCGATCCGAATGGAAACTTGCCCAGTAGCGATAAATGAGGATTATTTGGCAGTTATGACGTTCCGTCTAATTGGAAAATGCAAGTTTAATCGAAAATAGTTTGAAGTAATAATTATGCAGGTACAGAAATTGCAACAGAAATGTTTTTTAAGAACAATTTTAATTAATGCGGTCTTCAACAAAGAGAATAGTCTTGCTTAAAGCACTTTTTGATGGTATCTTCAAATCATTAAAAAATTCATCTTTAGCCGTTTACATGGGTTTTGGTTGGAATTTATGATGAATTGGTGTATATATTTACCAATTTTCATATGCCTATTTATTCTGGAATTGAATTTGCCATGCTGATAATCGTATTAACTTAATCCATCTTCTTAATTTGCTAAACCAGTGTCATATAAGCAAGTTTGTTAGTTTTCACTATTCTATCCAAGTTTTTTCTACCTTTCCAAATCTACCACTAGCAACTTACAATTACCTAAATGCAATGCGTTTATGATTAATTTAATTTCTTTATTTGGAAGATTGCCATAAAGTGCATAATAACCTATTCAAGCGACGAATTGATGCAAATTGCAAGACAAAATGGTAATGCCCGCTGGAATTCTACGTCTAATATTTCAAAATATATTTTTAAACACAAATACACATGTGCCTTAAGACATGAAACATTGACACAAAAACCTTTTGTGCGTTTCACGCTATTTTTACCACCATTAACCTACCTGTTGAATGATGCTTTAATTTCAACACGTAATTAACAATCCCGCACGAATTATCTCATCATCACAGACTTCCTAATTGACCTTTCATACCTAAGCTGTACCTAATTAATACATTAATATAGGATACAGTATGATACCTACATTTCACATTTACTTTATTTTTTATTCAAAAACGGGCAATGCCAGATATGTAGGTGTATTAGGTAGTTCTCTAAATAATGATCTAAATAATGATGGTTTCAAGTTTAATTTTATATATTTCATTGAAGTTTAGCAATAAATATGGAACAAGATTTTTAACAACTAAAATTCTAAAATTCGTAAAAACCTATACCTACTCCTGCTATATTTAGAATAGAATGGAACTTGACAACCGGAAGTATTTTATTCCTTTCTGTCCTTTCTTTTAAACGATTGAATAACCCTATGCAAAGTGCAAACTAGGTTGGTCTAATTCCCGCCATTATATTTGATTTGCCTAATCTAGCTTAATTCGCATTAACGCGGTGAGCACGAATGTCAGCACGCGTAAAACTCTTTCGCTACTTACGAAAATAAACGTCCGAATCCATTTTATCGCGATATGATGAATAGTGCCTTCTTTGCCGCTTTGTTTTTTATCGCCTATTCGCTGATTGAGTGCTATTATATCGAGGATAATAAGCCCAGATATTTGACCGCCGCTGTCGGGGAATCCGTCGTTTTCAATTGTGAAATAGACTTCCCGCAGAGTTTCCCCATACCTTACAAGTTATTTTGGAAGAAAAAGGTAAGATTCCTTCTATTATTAACGAATTATAAGTGGCATGACAAGAATAATTTATAGGATAAAGTGATATACTCCTGGCAAGATGGTAGAGTAACAGAAGATGATGAGTATCTAGGGAGGATTGTTCTAGTCGATAGGAACGTACATCGAACATACGGGATAGCATCGATAAACATAACGTCAGTAAGAGAAACTGATGCAGGATGGTTCGAATGCAGAACGCTTTTCCCCAATAGAACACCCCCGTGGAGGAACAACGGAACTTGGTTCCATCTCACCGTCAGCGGTAAGTCTTTCTCAAAACTCTAGCAGAACCTTCAGTAATCGCTCTACTTTCAGGCGGAAATTTATTAGCCATACCTCCCATGAACAAAACGGTAATGGAAGGAGACGAGGCCGAGTTCACCTGCCTCACGAAGGACTTCGAAATCAGAGTGAAGTGGTTCAAGGACGGCATCCCCATCGCCGAATACCATGATTTGATCAACAGATCCTGGGTGACCAAAGACAATTCTCTTATAATCCGTCCCACCGACTCCGGCGACACCGGAGAATACGAATGCGAGGCTTACAATTACGACAACGAGCGCCAGACCGCGCGGGCCTACCTGAACGTACAGTGTATGTAATTTTACTAGCACTAATCTAACAAAATTTGCTTATATTTTTGTAAAATGCGCAGATAAGGCGAAAGTGGTGTACGCCCCGCCGGAGATCCATCTACCTTTCGGCCAACCGGCCATCATCGATTGCCACTATCGCGCCAATCCCAACCTAACGACCCTCCGATGGGACAAAGACGGCTTCCTCTTCGATCCCTACAACGTGCCAGGCGTCTTCTACAAGAAAAACGGAAGTTTGTACATCAACAGAGTAGATGACTCGCACAATGGCATTTACACTTGCACCCCGTACAACGACTTGGGCTCCGCTGGAGCCTCCACCAACATGCACGTTATAGTGCAGACAACTCCGAAATTTTTAAAAATACCCGATAACTTATACCTGCGACAATTAGGCGAAACCGTGGAAATGACCTGCGATGCGACAGACGGCGAAGACGGGCACAAGCCAATGATAATATGGTACAAGGTAGTACACACACAATAAATCTGTTGATGTATAAATATACCGATGCAAATATTGTTTTAGAAAAACGGCTCTCCTCTTCCTATCAACCGCTATTCGATTAAAGACGGCAACCTGACCATCACCAACATTCAAAGCGACGATAGAGGAGTCTACCAATGTGCAGCATCCAACAAAGCCGCTACTATAACAGTAGAAACTGAGCTGCTGGTACAGAACATACCATCGAGTGCACCGTATAATCTTTCAGCCGTGTCCTCGCCAACGTCCGTTCATTTGAGCTGGCTACTCAACAGACATCGGACCAACACGGAATTCAGCGTTTGGTATAAAAGCAGAGAGAGCACCGAATGGAAAACCTACCTGGTACCTTCAGACGCCATGGAGGCGACCATAAGAAACTTACACCCAGGTGACAGATATTAAACATTTAGCAAACGATTACTAAATTATCATTGCCTTTAGATACGCCTTATGAGTTCATGGTGCTGGTCAAAGGCGACGATGGCGTTGGGGAAAGCAAATCGATAGTGGTGTGGACTAAAGAGCTCGAAGATGATATCAAGCCGATAATGACCAGCGGAAAATATCCACTGGTGGGCTTTCCCAGGAACGTTTCTGTTCGTACCACGGATTCGGGGCTCCTGGTCACCTGGCAGCGGCCCGAGTACGGGCTGGAATACCTGAAGAAATACGTCGTCAGATGGTCCAAAATTACTGATGAGTATATTTTTGGATCGGCTGATACAATCAACACATCTTTTTTAAGTAAGTGTATTCTAGAGGTCACTCCTGTGGTGAACCAGGTAATCGCAAGGGTAATTTAATTTATTATTTGTAGTTACTAATTTATTGGACGGTGAAGACTACGCCATCGATGTGGTGGCCGTGTCTTTGGACGACCAGCAATCAGTGAGTTCGAAAGTAAGGGGTTCGTTTCCCGGATACAAAAGTATTAAAGCTGTAGCTACTGGTATAATTGCAGGGTTGGCGTTCTTAGCGGTCGCTTTCGTAGCCGTTTATTTTATCAAGAAAAAGTGGCATCGGCCGTATCCGCAACCCTGCGTGAAAAACTAGTTGTGATTTCTATTTTTTCCGGGTACTTTAACGCAGTAAAATGAGTTTTATGGCGGTGTATATGTATGTTTATAATGCTTAATAGTCTGTATTGTTAAAATTCCGATGGTAATTACCAATTACTGTATCTTTTCTCGTTGATAAGCACAATTTTTCAACACCATATGGGAACAAATTTATTTATTTTTGAAGTAAACGTGGTTAAAAATGTAATAAAAGACTGGAAGATTTGGTTTTATTGTTATTTATTCGTGTAGTGGCTTATGAAAAATGATCAAATTTACAAATCAAATTTCACGAATAAAATGTCATTAAATTGATTTTTTATTATTTTTTTTGGTCACCTGAATACGTTTTTTGGTAACACTATTTTTCTTATAGGAGTCTATTTTTGGAGTGGGCATATTTATTCTGTATTATTTATTTTTTGAAGAAAATGGAAATATAGACAAGTTGCGTGCCTGGTAATCGGGCTCAATATTTATGAGAAAAGGAGGTCACACAAAACAGTTTTACTAAAACCATTTTAGCATTCAAGCCGTATCGTTTCCGATAAAACGATAAATCAGAATTGGTACAAAGTTATTTTTAGATAAACGCTTCTATTACTACAGTTTTATTTGATATTACAAAAGGGAAAACGATCCAATTATTACAATAATACAAGCATATTTCACACAATCTAAGGAAAATCCCAAGGCTTGCACATGCACTAAGCCTCATTACTTCAAGAACATTAGTACCCAATATTGTTAGTCAGTAACTAACTAACTACATTTAATAACAGAGTAGGAAACGATAACAAAAACTGCTCGTTATCTTCTTGACTCAATTTAAAATAATTAAAGCAAGTTGGTCATCATTGTACCTTTGCACCTATTCACCGCTAAGCTTAATCACCAAGTCCAGGACCGGACATTTTAAAATATTCAGTAAAAAAATCTATAAACTTTTTTTATAGAAGGAAATCTATGCACCACTATAAGGTACTGGTCTAGTATGCGGTCTATTTACCGCATCTGGTTTAGTAAGCGGTCTACCCAAATTAATCATACAGGGTGTTAATTAATTGAGTGCCGATACTTCAGGATGTGAATATTTGGGTACACCTTGTAGCTCGAGAACTAAGAGGTTTAAGCCATACATTGATATAAACTTTTCTTCTTAAAATCATCCGAATATTCACGTCCTAAAGTATCGGCACTCAATTAATTAACATTAACACTATAGTGTACAAAGCAGGTATTTATTATAAAATATAACAGCAAGATTTTGAAAATTGGCCCTACATTAATTAAATGAAATAAAATTACTCGTATTGTATTATTTATAAAATAGCATGGGGTAATTCAATTTATGGTAGACCGCTAATATTATGGTAGACCGCAAATATTATGGTAGGCCGCATACTAGACCGGCATGTAACCAAATAACAATAATTTAGAAATTTTATTTTTTTAATTAGGAATCCAATATTTTTTTGTAAATAAATGTATATTTGTACTATTGATTGATTCATTTTATTGGCAGTAACTAATATACCTAGTGGTAGTTATTCTACATGTAAAAGGGAAGAATAAATTTATGAGGCCTTTCATCATGTTTTTTCTCAATTTCGATAAAAACTTATTGAATCCCAAAAATCCGAAGATGCTGCAGGTAAACACCTAGTTTCCGCGTATTTCGCTGGTAAAGAAAATTTCGCAAGTATCAGCCGATGATATGATTCTTTCATGAGATTCCTCGCGAGTTCGTCATTCTCTCCAATCCGTTTCTGTACGATACGAGTCGAATCGAAATGTTCTTTGAAAGGATGCAAGTCCTTAGTGCAAGCGCACCGACGTCGCTAAGGACGAAATTTTCGCGTACGAAAAGGCTGCACTAGACCGAAATGGTAGTCACAACAATGCCCGTTTCGGTGCGTACGAACCGACTACTCCACGATTCGATTGTGGAGAACGTGGGGGAAAAGCGACGTTGCCGGGAGTCTACGATTTTCCTTGCTTTGGGGAAATTCGGGAGGTCCGTTGTGTTGTCATTGACCCCGGTGCAGTGAACTACGGATAGTACGGATAGTAATTATTGAATATTGGCCTAGAATACCTAATGCCGTTGGCTGCTAATAGAAAAAGGAGTTTTTTGAATCCGTTTCTAAAAGAAATTGTACTTGGGCATCTACATTTTTTGTGTAAACATATTTTCAATTTGCAAGGCTAGATTGTTTAATTGCTTATATTAAAATAGCACTTAAACCCTGGTACCTCTGTAAATAAATTAATAGTTATATAACTCACATATTAATTATTGAAACAGACAATTTTATTGTACTGCAGTTCAATTACAGTAATACCGAATAGTATTTTGTAATTACCTGATAATATTGTTTTTCGTAAATTCTACTCGAGTTGTTTTTTTCTACAATACAAATTATTTTTTGTTTAAATATTTGTAAGAAGGTTAGTTGGGTCATATAATAAATTTACAATTATTACAAAAGCAAAAAACAATAATATAAGTTGTTTTTTAATGTTAAATTTGTTTGTCCCGTTTGAAAAACCTTATTGAAATCATTGGTTTTTTTGGCAGATCTTTTTATTACGTTCTGTATAATAAATATGTATAGTAAATCAATTTGATGCCTGTGTTATTTTTTCATGACTTTAATGAAAGCATTAAATTAGCATTTCCTATTAAACAATATCTGTTGAATAATAAAAGTAAAATTATCAAACAAAGTTTTTGCTCGATCTAAAGTTCAAGAACAAAAGCTTTTGGAACGCTTAAATTCGTTACTATACGAGGGCGAATCAAATAAGAACCGGAATTTTCTTTTAAACGATCCCTATGTAAGGTAAGTAATATGTTTCATGGGAGAGCGTAAAACTTGCCAAAATTTTGCGTCGAGTAACTACACAGTTCACTGAAAACCATTCAAAGGATCCATGTCTACGATTGGTAAAAAAAATGTGAAAAACTGGAGGAGCAGAACAAGAAAAAGACAAGATTCGTCTTTCTGCTGGGAAAGTTCTTGCAACGATTTTTTAAGATTGCAGGGATCATATAGCTCATAAATTTTCTCAATAAATGACGTGAATTTAAGGGTGTAATCTGCCAACTTTTTGATGAATTTTGATAATAATTTTTTTAAAGCAAAATTCCGGTTCATATTTGATTCGCCCTCGTATACATACTTGTACATTATACTACAAAGTGCGTATTTGTAAACTTTTTATAAATCATTTATTTTTTTATAATTGATCTACTCGTAGTATAAACAAAATCATTTTCCATCATCAATTTGTCTCAATTAAATTTCACTTAGAAAAATTAGGCGTTTAAAAGCCCGTAGGTAGTTGAAGTTTCTGATTACCCATTTATTTTCTTCTGTAAAATGGGGAAAGTTATATTAAATTATTTAGATAAATTATATTACAAATTTAAAATGTAATTATATTACAATGTACTGTCTTCTCCGATAAAAACTCTTTCTAAGTACCTAAATTAATATTTATGTATATTTTCTCTTGCCTCTTAAAAGATAAAAAAATATAACCAGCTGGTACCAGCTACTTGAGATGTTAAAGATAAGGCGAGTAAACGACTATTTTGAATTTTTTTCTATTTAAATTAAATTTCATCACTTGTAATAATTTAGGTAATGTAAAACGTTATATCATATATCTAAATTTAATATAAAATCTATTAATTTAAGACACCAATAATAGGTACTGCATTTAAACTGGTAGGTTTAACTTTATTTCACTAAAAAAAATTGATAATACTGCTTAATATTAAATTAATAATCTGAAATATGTTTTATTAGTAATTACCGCATAAAAGGATATTTGTTAATTTCATTTCCTCATTCAAACTTGCCTTGCCAAACTTGCCTCCAATAAAAACATATGTATTTGGAAATTCCAGAAACAAGAAAGTGCATTTTCTCTGTAAATAATACAAAGGTGGTACTCCTGTAGAATACTTTTTTTTTCTAAATAGGTACCTGTTCCCTACATGATAATAAAGCAATTTATACATGCATTACACATGTTACAAAATAAATAATTTGCGTATTTGCAATAAAAACAAAACTGATAAAATTCAGATGTACGTATTCCACAGCGACAATAGTTTTCGGAACATATACAAAGAAAAACACATGCTACCCATGGGCCCCGCTTTATCGCAATTCTCGCACGCGCTTTTCGATGCAGATCCGAAGCGACAACGAAGGCAGGATGGGGACAAAGACTGAAACGCAGTGAAACCAGTGAAAACGGATCCAGGGAAATCGGGCCCGGCGTATCGGCAACGCTGCTCTTCGAAACAGTCGCATTCAACTGCTTAATATGTCATGTTGGTCTTACAGCACTTGGAAACGTTCAGTCTACAAACACATAAACAGCTGATCGAAGTGGCTATAAGTTGACCATGCAATTTTCCTGAAAAGCTTCGGACTGGAACTGCCGGGTTTGTCAGGCTGATCGAGCTGGTGTTTCGCGAAAGACAGTGAGTGGACGTAAAGTTTTAAGTCATTGGAAATCAGATGGTAAGTTCATGCTGGTATTAGACCATTGTATTTTGATAGAAATCTTTCTGCTTTTGTGTTGCGAAATAATAGAACGGTTCGTACACGTGAATCAGCGAACGTTATTAAAATAGATGACTAAAATATATTTGAAGATATCGTAGAAAAATTGGAAAATCTCCAATAGAGGCATGTGGGATTTTTCCTAAAATTTCGTTTTGTGTCGAATCTGGTGTGTGGAACTGTTTCGAATTTATTTTCCCTCGTCTACAATTTTTTTTTGTTAGAGCACTTACAAGAGTAAATCCTCACTAATTTTTAAAAGCTTCAACATTGTTTGTGTACAACTCAGAAAATATTTTATTAGTGATCCTACCAGAAACTGTGTTTGTGTTGTAAAGGTAAATTTGTCAAGTTAAATTAATCTTCAAAAATCTCCTGACTTTAATAATCAAGCCTAATAATCAAGGATGAGTATATTCATCCTTACTACAATTAAGCAAGCAAGAATTCAACAAGATTCATTAAAATTTTTATCCCAAAATAGCCCCAATTAATTTTCAAATAATTACATATTTAACACCAGCAAACGAACCCGATATTTCTTTACCTCCCGAGGTCAAATTGCTTAATTAGTGACTTTATGTACGTGAGAAAATAAACCGTCAATTGAAGTTTATTAAAACATTCATCGATCATTTAAATGGTCGGCGATTTTTATTAACATATAGGTTGGAAATAAACGGTGTTATAATTGTAAAGAAACTTTTAATATACTTACACACCTAGTAAATATTTTAAGAATTGTAGCAAAAGAGCAAAAGCTCAGTTGAGTCTTTATTTGCTTTCCCCCATATACAAATCCTGCGGGTCTCTAATTAGTCCGTAATTAAAGCTTATTTCGGGTAGGTACTGATACAAGTAAATATCAAATAATTAACCCATTACATACAATTACATTCGTAATATATAATTTCGATTTTTTTCAAACTATTGAGACATGAGACATTACTGTCTCTGTTATTTGTTTTTTGTGTACTATAATTTGACGGAGTACTTATTAATTACTTTACGTGTATTCAAATTTTTATTTTTTTTCTACTATAATTAAACTGATAAGAATATTTAAATATTTACAGTCGAGCAGCCAGTGGGAACGTTTGCAATTTCGTATTAACAATAAAAACCTTTTTTAACTGTTTGAATGCAGTTATTGATTAAATTATGCAATTACGTTTCAGTTAAATGGCATTCATTTTTTATTAAAGAGATTATTTTGATTTCCTTATTTAAATGAATTAAAAACATATTTGATGTATCTATGTTTTTTTTGTTCGTTTAGACGTCACTTGTAAGCAATTAAAACATTATGGAAGATGTTTTAATTCCTTGATTAACTGTGTATGGGATAATGTATGAGACCGGTTATAGACATGATAGCTGTTTAAGAAAATTGTTGAAGAGAATATTGAACTTCAATAAACACTGCTTACCTATAAAGCTTTAAGGAAACAAATACAATGACTAGAATTCAGTTTACTGAAGATGCCTACATACATATGTATGTATGTAAATACATAATATTAAATAAATACAAAATATTATTAGATATTATTGGAACATAAAATTTTGTTACTTCGCAAATGCCCAATTTTACAAATTAAGGTCAGTATTTATTATATAATAATGTGACAACACAATTTATTATTCTATACTCGACGTCTAAACGCCTTAATACACATACAAATGAGCAATTTTATTTAAAGGTCATTTCTTTGTAACCTAATGGGTAAATTACCAAGAACAAAAAGATATCGCGTCTATTTGGAAGCAATTAATTTCAGCATCGCTTTCACTTCTTATTACGCATGTACACTTTATACAACACATATCCAGAAGAATAGCGTTTGAAAAATAGCGAAAAAGGAACTACATTTTGGCACAAAAATATTGTTTTCAAAAAAATTAACAAACACCATAAATATAATTAGCTAGTCTAGTTAATAATCATGCTAACTCGAAAGAATATAACTGTAATAAATGTAAATTAGGAATCAAAGAAGACTAGTGTACCTACTTATTTTTATTTTGTACGAGTTCGTAGGACTCAAAATATTATTTAGTGAGTGTTTCAGTACAAAGTCATATGTGTCCATTGGCCTTTAAGTACGAGTGAACCGTTTGTCACACTAGAAATTAAACAATAAACTCGGCACACACATATTACTCCAAGGTTGTGCTATAATCGTTGAGTGCTTTAATCGGCGTTATTATTTCTTAGATCTTCGAAGCTGCTCGTTCAATAATAGCACGTAGAATTAGTATTAATCACGCTTTTCCGAATAGGAATAATAAACAGTCCATGTAACGTATGTCAATAAAAATATAGTTAAGCGAATGGACTAATCTAATCCGTTAAGGTTAAATCATTTACAAGACGGAATTTATCGATATAACCAACCTCAACTGGTATTGTTTCAGCAGCAACTAGCAACTACTTGAAAAAAACAATGCATTGTAAATTTTCCTAGACTGCACACAAATATGTTTTCATTTTCGATTTCGATTAGAAAGGTTTTATTGATCGAAAACAACAAGAATTTTTATAGTTATAGTTATACTCACTGTGTATTGAATTAAGTATACTTATAGGAAGTCGTTACACCTTCACGCTATTTTAATAAATCTTATGCAAGAATTACTGAGCACTAATGTATCGAAGTATTCTACAGTGTAATGATGTGTATATGATGTCTGCTGCTATCTTTGTGGGACTGTACACTTTAAAACAAATTAGGGAAAACTCTACAATAGTGAATAATTAAGCATTGATTAACATCATTTATGGCAAAATTATGATTGATTAATGTGTTTAGATTTCCTATATTATAATTTCTCTGTTCGTATAAAAAAAGTACAGCAGAAATAACGAACTTATAAATATTTAATTGTAAGGAACTTATTCAATCAATAGGCCACATAACATTAAATGAGCGGATACCAGGTCATATTTAGTTACGTGGAAATCGCTTGGCAATAATCCAGAATATTTGTAATATTTTCGTAGAACAAAAGCGGGTTCTGCTCATAGAGTCAATGTGTGGATTTTATTTTTCTATTTTTCGATATTAATTTTTTTTAATAAATATTTAAAATATTAGTTCAGTACTATTTGTAAATATTTTAAACGTTTTATTAAAATTTTGAGTTCATAATGTGAAGATTTAACCAAAATACTTCTGCATGTAAGAGCCCAGTACTTTGTAAGATATAGTATAACACAGTATAACGAAACATCCTGTACATTCTTTGCTCGTTAAAAATTGATTCACGATAACTAACCACTTCAATAAAAATTTGATTGTTCAAAAAATGCTTCATGATTTTAATATCGCTCATGATTTCGATAGCCCCGTTTACGATAAAACTGAATAGAGTCCATTAATTTTATTTGCCGTAAGATAGAAATAATAAATTGCTGGCATTGTCACGTGTATCGCCGCGCAGACTGTTTTTTAATCGACAAAAAACCAGCAGGGTGGTAATTGTACGTAATATTTACGCAGTATTACAATAATTGAGTGCTCCTTTTTATTTCAGTGTAGGATAAATTTCGTAACTGAGGGATAGAACATGGCGGAAGATTCGAAATGCATAAAAATAAATTTACCCTCGGACGTGGACGATTCGCATCAAACTGTAGCGTATACAAGAACATCAGTTTGCTCACCACCTCTCAAAGAAACCGAATCTCTCAATAACGCTTCAGTTTTAAGGTACGTTTAATTTTATATATTTTATTCGTTTGCTATTTTATCCATTATTCGTATAAATATTTACTGTGAATTTCTCTTTGATGCCAAACAATTATACACACATTTTTGCTTAATGTTCTAAAAATAATTTATATTACCTAACTCTAATCTAAAATTTAAAAGAGTATAAAAAACATGTAACATTCATTGCAATTACAGACAGAATTATAATCGATTAATCACTTCAACATTCTGCTCGTAACAATCCTATCTCTGTTATCCGCTTTTCTCAATTATTCGACTTTTATCTTCACGCCGCTTTCCGTGGCATTTTCCTATCAGCAAAAATGTCATTGAGGCACGCTTTTTTTATCGATTATCATTATTCGAAGAGAATGCTTTGTTTAATGCCGGAAATAGTCCTGATTGTCTATTAAATCGAACAAAACATTGCAAACTAAAAATCAACGTTCATGCAGAAATTCAAGACGTTTCATTGCAAACCAGATATGATTTTAAACTACAATGTGGAAACCATTTCTGACGTTCTCCAAATTGTTTGAAATTAACGATGAGTGTTCTCTGAACCGCGTCAAATATTAATTGAAGCCTATGAAAATAAAAAACAATATAAATATTTTTTACATAGGTTTTATTTACAAAAATATAGTTTTTTAAGTACTCATTTGTTAACAAAATATCATTTTCCTACTTATTAATTGTAACGGGCTTTTATCTAATATATCTACGAGTACATAGGTTTGCGTTTTTGATTAGATACATTAATATTAGTTAATGGAAAGCATTTCTAAGTAAAATTGTTCATTATTCTCTAAATAACTAATATGCTATTAATGTATGTAAGTACTCGTATAAATTAATTACCTATATTGAATAAACGTAGATGTAATAACCCATTTTTAATTTACACAACCTATATTTAATAAAGAGGTAAAAAATGTTTGAGCGAACATTTGCACAAAACTTTAATTAAACGAGATAACTATAGCAGAACGCTATAGGCCGGAGAACTCCCTTCGCCTGTTGACCTAAATTTCCCGGCGATTCCAACTCGAAACGCTAACAATATTCGTCGTTGCAGCGGCTCCCAATCCAACGTTTATAATGGGGCATTGGCAACGATCGGAAACGCGGCCGCTCTTAGAAAAGTGCCCAACAGCAGCCCGAGCAATCACAAGCGCCCGACGATATCTCTCACCCACCTGCCCAAGAGGCCTCCGGTCGACATCACCTTCACCGATCTGTCCTACTCCGTGTCGGAGGGACGGAAAAGGGGATACAAGACGATATTGAAGTGCATCAGCGGGAAATGCAAGTCCGGCGAACTCACCGGCATCATGGGCCCTTCCGGCGCCGGCAAAAGCACTCTAATGAATATTCTCGCCGGATACAAGTAAGTAAATAGATTCGTTTTCCGAGACGTAAAAGGCCGAAGTTGCCGGGAAAAGCGTGTTGAGTTCGAAGTTCAATTTGATTTACAAAAAAATGATAATGTATAATGTATAACCGCCCAGTAGACGAATATTTTAATTATTATTCATGAATCTGTCGCTCCGATTTAGAATTTAACTCGTTTCGGGGCATACAAAGTTTTATCTCCATTTTTTTATACTTATGCATTTACTGTAGCATTAATATTTTAACTACTAACGAATGTATACCTCGCAGGACGTCTAATCTTAGCGGGCAGGTGATGATAAACGGCAAAGAGCGGAACTTGCGGCGCTTCCGAAAGATGTCCTGCTACATAATGCAGGACGATTGTCTCTCTCCGCATCTGACGGTCAAAGAAGCCATGCTGGTATCGGCGAATCTCAAGCTAGGCAAAGCCGTCACGTTGTCGGAGAAGAAGGTCGTCATCAACGAAATCATCGAAAACTTGGGCCTGCAAAGTTGCATCGACATCAACTCGGCGAACCTGTCGGGCGGCCAGAGAAAAAGACTGTCCATAGGCTTGGAGATGGTGAACAATCCGCCCGTGATGTTCTTCGACGAGCCCACCAGCGGCCTGGACAGCTCCTCGTGCTTCCAATGCCTGTGCCTGCTCAAGTCGCTCGCCAGAGGCGGCAGAACGATCATCTGCACCATACACCAACCGTCCGCCAGATTGTTCGAAATGTTCGATCACCTCTACATGCTGGCCGAGGGCCAGTGCATCTACCGGGGCGCCGTCTTCGGCTTGGTGCCGTTTCTATCGAGCATGGGCTTGAACTGCCCCAGCTACCACAACCCCGCCGATTACGGTAACTCCGAAACAACCAGCGACAATTCGATTGTGTAACGTTTGATTTGCAGTCATGGAGGTGGCCTGCGGCGAGCACGGCGACTACGTGCAGAAACTGGTGGTGGCGGTGAACGCGGGCAGATGCAGCATGTTCGTGACGTCGGACCACCGGAACAGCAAGTTCGTTTCGAACGACATCGTCAAGGAAAACGGCAGCTGCAGGAACACCAGCAGCGACGTCGTGGCCGTGCCGAATGGATCCGTCAAGCAAAACGGCACTCTCGCTGCTCCTGTTACTTGCACCACTTCGTTGCTCGATTCATCCGAAAATCTATCGCCTTCAGAGAAAAACGGTACGAATAACATTTCGTATAAACCCTAATGTAGTACTAGTTTTGAGGTTTTTATTGCAGGATTTTCGACGACCGGTTTTCAACAGTTCGCGATTTTGCTCAAAAGAAGTATGTACATGATACTGATGGACAAGACTCTTACGAGAATGAGGCTGGTGTCTCATTTTGTAATAGGCTGTCTTATCGGCCTGATTTACTACGATATAGGTCAAGATGCTGCCAAAGTGACCAGTAACGCGGGATGCTTATTTTTCTGCGTTATGTTTATGATGTACACGGCTATGATGCCGACGATTTTAACGTGTAAGTAGACGATTTATTAGAATTAATGTAACCCTCCATATTCCTCACGCTGACTTAATAAACACGTCCAAAATAACTTCTAATTTAAATAAACAGTAATTAATGGCGCACCTTTTCTAAATATTTGCGAGAAATTTACACAAAAGACACACACACACACACACACACACACGCTCGATGTTACTGGAATTAAATCTATTTTCATTTTATTTTCGCTGCTTGTGAAATAATCGCTGAAGTTCGAGCGTAATTGCTGGTTTTAAAGATTAACATTTTGTAATGCCGGATGTTTCTATCGATTTTCGTATATCCGAAAATAAGATATGCATAAAGCAAGCCTGAAAATTTCCTTGCACTTCGGGAATATTTCAAAAGCTAAAAACTCCTAATTTATTTAGAGTGCACTCACTATACCACAACAGTTTGCTTTATTGTTTGAAATTTCGCTTTTTTAGGGTACTTTAGGGTCAATAATTCGAATTTTAACATTTGAAAAGCACTATTTTCAGTCTCTTACAACAATTTTTAATTATAAAAATTCATTCCAGTTCCACTAGAAATGTCGGTAATCGTCAGAGAGCATCTAAACTATTGGTACTCACTGAAAGCTTATTACATGGCGAAAACTCTAGCAGACATACCGTTTCAAGTGAGTAAATTTCATTGGTGTCCAGCTAAAATATTGATCGAAATATTTTTGTAGATCGTGATGACTTTATGCTACATTATTGGAGTTTATTTCATCACATCTCAGCCCTTAGACGTTACCAGATTCGGTATGATTTTGCTGGTTGCCGTTCTCGTGGCGTTGGTGTCGCAAAGTTTTGGATTGCTAATCGGTGCTGCATTTAATATAGAGGTAACGTGAATATTAAATTACCCAATTGCTGTAGTGTTAACACTGAATTTATCTGCGCAGGGAGGAGTATTCCTAGGACCAATTTCTACCATTCCGATGGTACTATTTTCGGGATTTTTCTCCAATTTGAACGACATTCCTTTCTACTTGAAGTGGCTGCCGTACTTGAGTTACTTGAAGTACGGTTTCGAAGCTTTCATGATAGCCATATACGGTTTGGACAGGCCAAAGTTGAATTGCACGATAGATTACTGCCATTTCAAGTACCCCAAGACGTTCTTAGAGCAAATGTCTATGGAAGGAGACATGAAGAGCTATTTCATCGATGTCGGCGTGCTCTCGGGACTGTTTGTCTTTCTTAGAGTAGTGGCCTATTTCATGCTTCGAATTAAATTGATGCAGAATCGGTAAAATTTTCGTATTTTTTGCGGGGTGAATTGGCCTCGTTTGCGAAAGAACGGGTAAATCTAATGAGCGGTATTTCGGATTTTTTGAGCTACAGACAAAATCAAAAAGTTGAGTTGACTGGACTTTTAGTAGAAATTAAAACAGTATTCCGTACAGATATAATATAGCGATTTGCACCAAGTACAATGTACATTTTCCCACGCATTTATAGGATACATTTTATATACCTCTATTTTATTTAAAAGTACCATTTCAGAAACACATCACTGGAAATAATCGAACATTACATCGAACATAGTCTCCAAAAGCTAGTACAACCTATTATCATTTTTGCGTTGCTAGTTCGTACGACTCCATTTTATATTCTAATGTATTTATTATTTTGAATTGTCTTCGGATATTCTCGTTGGTTAGAATCTCCTTTGAAATATTCATTTTCGCCCGCTATTTCATCAATATAGTTAAAGAACTGGTAGGTAAAAGTAATAGTCAATTAATCTTTATAGATATTAACTACCTTTACAATTTTTTAAAATAGTTTTCAATTAATATTGGCTTTATAGTGGGTACGTATTTAAATAGAAATTCGACAATCACATTTGAATCACAGAACATTCTCTCACAATAGAAAATAGCTAATTGATTTGTAATTTTTACTCGTTCAATATTAATTTTAATTTCTGTAATTCGGTGAATTATGCTAGATTTCTTGGGTTAATGTTGTATTAGGGCAAATAAGGTAGTACTGGTAAAGGTGTTATCTCAAATTTACCCCCCGAACGTAATTTAATACATTTGTAAATGTTAATTGGACAGAAGATCCGTGTTAGTGATAATTTCAGTAATTGTAATTCGACCCGGTAATTTCAAAATTGTATTTTTGTAATCGGTATTGTGTGAAAATATTAAATTTTTATTAGGATAACTGCGTAATTATATATGTATCGAGTAACTCAAATTGAGGTGTTTTTTATCTTATGAGTGGCGTATTTTGTATCCAGTGTTTGAATGTTAAATCCAAATATTTGTTTATATACAGGGCGATTCTAAAATATTCTTACAATTTATCTACTATTCTAAATTTACGTAGCAGGGAATTTAACTATCGAGGAAATATTTACTGGTTATAATCTTAGTCATTTATTAATTAACATAGCTTCTTTATGAATTTAGATTACTGCGCAATTTTTAAAATTATCAAAATATAGTAGGTGTCTGTGGACTTGTTGAAAGAGCTCTTAACGTGTGTAAAGAATTATAAATTATTGTATTTTTATCTAAGTTTATACCTATTTATAAAATACCTGTATGTACATTCCGAATTCAGCAGTTTATTTATTTATTTTTTTCGAATTATTTTAACGAAATCCAAAGATCCTTTCAGACAAAAATACAATAATTTTTAGTCGATTTGACCAGCTACATCATGTTGAATAAAAAAAATTCTTATGGCAGAACTACTAATAGTCATTTATTCAATTGTGATAGAAAATTGGTAACCATTGTATTTTATTATTCTGTGATCCGATTTTTGTGATGTTAATTTGATGTTATTTATAATTGAAACAGTAACCATTGAAAAGTTACACCTCGTTTAGAGAACAAATGTGTATGTATACCGCGGTATACCAGGAACTATACCAAATTTCGTTTTACAATAATTATAAAGATATTTTTATCAACATATATAGATAGTGTTAATTTTTTCAGTTAGTATATTCATTTTATTCATATATGAACTATTAAATACTCAATTTTCTAATTTGCGGTACTGTGGATTGCGGTTATAAAACTGAATTATATTTCAGTGCAAATTATTCATGTACATATTCTATACATTAATAATACATTTTTTTACTATAAACACTGCTTATTATTCTTATCCCTGTGTCGGTTCTTAAGCGGGACACCCTGTACATACTTCATCTGTATTTAAAAGTACACTACAATAAAAAAATCACTTTTATTAAATAACTAGATTTAATTTTTCAAAACGGTGTGAGTTTAGGACCTTATTTTAAAACATAAAAAACCTAAAATCTATCACGACAACATAGTCCAATATGTATCCTTATATTTTCTGCTTTAAGAAAATGGTTCACATTAAATTTTTCCGCCTTATTCTTACTTTTAAGAGACAGACTTTAAACTGGTTTCATGAGGAGTTTGTGGTGTCGCCGTTATCGTTTCCGTAATTGTTAGTTGTACCATTAACAGTGAAAGATGTTCCGAGCCCGTAAAGATGGCCCGAGAACTTCGAATCGTCAATAGTATCCTCAAAAAACATCTAAAAAAATAATTTACTTTATAAGTGCATAGGGTGTTACGTTACACATACTTCTTTCATTTTGAAAAAGGCCATTCCGGTCAACAGCGAGTCGGATCCGGCTTGATGTTGAGGCCCGATCCTCTCCAATTCTAACTGTTCCGCAACTTCTTGAAGGCCACCTTTTAAATTTTTACACGATTTCATTAAATACTAAAACGTAAAAGTTAGGTTAGCTCGATCCTTAAGCGAATTGTGCAATGTTACCACCCACCTTTACGTCGTATATGGTGGGAAAATACAATTTCAGCAGATCGAAAAATTCATTTTCATCTTGCGGTAGATTGTTGTCGGTGAGTAACTTTATTAAATAGCCAAAATCGTAGCCGGAATGAAACGACAGCCATTTGATATTTTCCATTAGAACGATCCCGGAGGACATTAGTAGTTCGGCAAATTCTAACGGTTCGATACCTTCGTCTTCGTGCTTCTTGAATTGTATCCCGGAATTTTGCAGTAAATCGATGCTATCTTGTGCGTACATGTCTTCTCTACAAAAAAAGAACAATTAAACGGATTACAATGTACCATAGATTGTACGTACTGAAGGTTGAATTTAAAATTGAACTGCCAGGTAGTGTAAACTCCTCCTGGTGTTTTGCCATTATCGTCTAAGAACGTTAAACCTAGTTGGATAATTCTCAGTAAGTCTACGTTGCACCTCAACATTTGGTATTGATAATCGGCGGAGCTTCGAAATTCTCCTATGGGTCGGGCCACGACGCCGGGAAATTCAGTGTCCATTGCGACATATTGGTATTTCTGCACTATTTGTCTTATAGTTCGGAATTCATCTTCCAAATTGTGAGCCCAAACGTCCCGAATGCCGCAGTCTTCATTGTTAGGATGTAAATTGCTACCCAAAGTAGCTGCTGGCATGTTTTTAAAGATTTCCGTGATTGTGTAAGGAAAACGATTTCAACTTGAGCAAAGTAAAAATATTACAGTTTTTTCACCTGAAAAATCACACAAAAAAATTTGGTAAAACGTTAGAGGGTGCCATTTGAATCGGAAACAAAGGAATTACGTAAGGGAGATAATTTTAAATGCTTTGAATTATTTCAACTCTCTTACCTCCTTTGTCATTATATTCAGAAGTCTTGTTCAATATTATTTATTTTGCGAAAAACATGAACATTTCCCGTTTCCTAAATTTGGCAACTTTTACATTTGTCATATGTCAAACACAACCTGTCATTTATGAATTGTGATGCCTAAAAAAGTACGTTCAACAATTAGCTTCACTATTCACTATTCAAAATACCACTAAAATGAGCAACAAATTTTATCATCAATAAAAGCTTAACCAAAACCACCAATATTGTGTTTTAATTAGCTTGGTTTTTCCTAAAAAACTTGATTTCAATATAAAATTTATTCTAACGACGAACGTAAAAAAAGGCTACCATATATAAAAATAAAAGAAGATTTTGCATTGACAGTTTAATTGACAATGACATTTAAAAGTTTATTGTTATGTTTGAATATAAAATAACATGATCCACAAAAGTTGTTTTCAATAATATATTTGGGATATAGCGAAAAAGTTATTAAAATCAGAGTTTTAATATATAGAAAAATGATGGAGAATAATCCCAGTGGATTAAAAACCAATATCCACGAAATGCCGCCTCTAAGTGATTCCATATCAGTAACAAACCCTAAATATCTTCCAAGATCGAAAGGGATCAGAAAAGACGTAGTAAATAATACTAACCATTGGCACAGATTTGTAGTTAGTATCTAAATAATAACCATTCATAATTTTGTATTATAAAGAAGGACTGTTCAATTAATGTTGTTTAAGGTTTATAATACAGAAAATTCTTCTCGAAATGAAGTATTAGAAGCTATTTTGGACCATATATTTCCTCTCGATTTAATACCGGTGTCTTACTGGAAGAACAAAAACACATCCTATTTTTTGGCCAGGAATTGTGGGCCTGCTATCGAGAAATTGTGTAAGAACAATTTAATTGTTTGTTGTAAAAAAACCAACTCTCTTGTAAGTACTTTTAGTGTACAATGTATTTTTAGTAAACAATATATTTTATTTTAGTACAAGCTTTCTATTACAATAAAATTTACAACTACTAAAGAGTTTAAAATAGACGTGCAGAAAAATGTAAGCAAAGTATTGTCAAAAAGATACAATACTGTAACCAGAACATTAGATCTAAGGAATTTTCTGGAAGATCCTGGCAAGTATTTTTTGATTTTGTGCATTGAGCGATTAATAAATTTATATTTGCAGATCTAATTGAATACTGCGCATTGTCCCAGCCCAAAATATTGTTTTTTGTTTTGCATTTATCGAAAGCATTAGTTCCTCCACCAGACAATTATATTCTGTCGGATAATAAAATTAAATTATTTTCTGCTATAGACGCTTTTAACAAAATTAAATCGTTGGATTTATCAAATAATCTGGTAAGAATTGTAAACTCCTCAATTGCTATTTAACGAGTAATACAATAATTATTTTCAGATCGAAAATTTTAACGTTCTGGCCGGATTGAACTCGCCCAAAATCAACGAATTGTATTTAGACGGCAATCCACTGTGCGATAATTTAACTAACGCAGAATATATCTCGAATGCAACTAGCTGTATAAACGGCTTAACAATCTTGGTAACATTAAAGAATACATTGCGTTTATAACACTTCACGTTGCGAATTTTATAGGACGGAGTTCCAATAAAAACGGGCAGTCTTCCCTCCAAGAAAAAACTATTTTTGTGCAATCCCGAAGCGTTAGATTTGGTGGATCAATTTTTGGAGCGTTACTTTTTCATCTACGATTCGCAAAATCGCAAACTCATACAAGATCTCTATCACAAACAAGCTTTGTTCTCGCTTAACTCGGTCTATCACAACTCGCAATTATCTTCTGCCACAACCAGGTGAGTCGAGCTTGGTAAGAAATAATCTACGAGTACTTAAATGTATTATGTTATGTTTAAGGATACACAAATACAACCTCTTCTCGCGGAATTTATACAAATTGGCCGATATCTTACTCAATCATAAAAATTTGTACAAAGGTAGTACAACGATAGTGAACATACTAAATAATCTCCCCGCCACCGAGCACGATCCTCTTTCTTTCCTAGTCGATCTCATCTACTACACTGTAAGTTATCTCATTTGCTACTCGATGTAAACTCCTAACTTGTAAATTTTCCAGCCAAAATGCGCCGTAATCGGTGTGTCGGGAACGTTCCGGGAATGTCCCGAATCGCTCTTAGATTCGGAGAAGCTGTACGGCTTTCGCAGAACCTTCACTCTGGAATTAAACAAAAACGGCTTGTGTTACATAACGAACGAAGAATTCCACGTGCACAACGCCTTTTCTTGGCAAATACTGGAAGGATTTAAAATATCCAAGCCCATCCTTCCATCGACTTTGAACATGACGCCGCAGACCGAAGAAGACCACCAGACGGTCATCGAAGGTTTAAAAACCATTTCAACATTAAATTCGGAGTGGTCCAAAAAGTTGGTTTAATTCTATTCTTATAATGCATTTATTGATTAATGTATTTTATTCAGGTGTTTGGAAGAGTGCGACTACGATTTGAAGAAGGCCTTGAATCTTTTTATTAATCTTTATAAGCAAAATCGAATACCACAGGAAGGATTCGAAACTGCCAAGAAAAAATCCGATGCTAATTTTGATATTTACAGTTATTAGATTGTTTTTCACAATCACTCGTTATTATTTCAATTGTATTGCAATATTATCCAATCGATATTTTTTTAATAAGAATTTGGTAACATCAACCTGTCCTCATCCTGTCAGAGCAGAGCTCTACTCACGAGTATCGTATAGCAGAGCAGAGTAGTGTAGAGCTGAGTAGAGTAAGGCCGAGCAGTGTAGGGGAGAGCAGAGTAAGGTAGTGTAAAGTAGTTAGTTCCCTTTCATACAAAATAGAGGCACTGGAGAAATAGACAAATAATGGTCGATTTTCAAGAAATCCTAGACACCATAATTCATAGTAATTAGATTGTTATTCAAAATCACTATCTGTTATATTCTTTTCTATAAGAATTTAAGAATTCGTTAACATCAACCTGTCCTCATAATGATCCTTTTCCTACGGAATAGAGGCACTAAAGAAACAGACAAATAGTTGTTGATTGTTCAAGTGATACTAGACACTATAATTTATTCGGTACTGGTAGACCCGTGAGTACTGATTTACAATACAGCTAGTGTTTGTCTCTTTGTCCTGACCGTGTCCTCACGTTAACGAGCCAACGTATACAGGTTGTAAAAAGGTATGAAGATGCACGAATCACGATATCCAGTGATATCACGAATCTCGAATCTCCTTCGTGCGTTCGAGCGCGCACGAGGTCCGCCGAGGCGGTTTTGTGTGGGACGTTCAAAACATGGAAGTAGGAAATTCAAAAAGACAAAACAGTTCCGTCGAGCGTTCACCGAGGAAACGGTTTCGTTCTATTTTCAACGATCAATTCGCGAAACGGCAATTCGAACATCGAATATCGATTCTTCCGTTGGAATTGTTCTAATTATGAATGGATCGTACTTGACCCTGTTAGTTTGATGTTCATCAACATGTGCGTTTGGATTCGGATAGAACCAGTTATCCTTAGATATTGTTCTACTTAGGTGAGTCGTCTCTACCTGCATATTATTTACATTTAATAATTTTTTTCTCGATAAAGCGCGTCATTGCCTCAATAAAATTCTACCTCATATTATGAAATTTATTACATCTTTTGCGCGCTTTTTGCACGTTATAAATTCGAAATGTATTTTTAGTAGGTAAGTGTGAAATGCGTTTTGTGAAATTTTGAATTTATTATTTGCTTCTAATCTTCACCTACATTTCGAATTTAAATTATTTTTAAGTTCACAAAAGAACCGCTACTTAAGCATTTAACAGTTGAAATGGTTTTATTGTTAAAGCGTCCTATAATGAATACAAATTAATTTTATGCGTTTGCGATAGCGCACCTTTGAAATGTCTAAAAATAACCCATTTTCTCCGACAGTTTGCATTAACAATTTGCATGTCCGTGGGTTTTTTTATTCTCCGTCATATTTATTTTTCACCTACTATTTTAACAATTTATTTTGACAAGGAGATTCAAAAAAATAATTACCGATTTCCTCTTTTACTTAGCACAAATGCGATTTTTAAAGGTTAAGCAATCCTTTTTTTATTACCTTCACAGTGTTACTAGTTATGACCCAATTTTACTTCCCGTTTTGAAAGAGCGAATCGATAAATTTAGGAACAAATTAAAATTTTTACGGCTTGTTGACTTTCAACGGGGTAAAATGGCAAAATAGTTTACGATCAATCGCCTAAATGCGGAACCTGTTGAAACTATTCCGTTGCGCACTTTTATTACATTATTATTAATGCAACGTACATAACCATTAATGTTTTTTATTCTCACCATTATTACGAACTAAAATAAACTTTAGATTCGTAAAAGATTGACTATGTAGAAAACGGGCTAATTAGAATTATTCAGCAATTTTTTTGTTTGTGTTCAAAGAACAATAACTTTCACTTCTACAAAACTCCCGAGCTGAATTACATTTTTACCTCATGTATCTACTGATCATTTTCACATATCAATTAGTTATTTACATTCTCTTATGATATATTATCATTATAACATAGCGATTTATTCACATAATGTTATTGTCATTCATCTTACATCACATCGATAGATGTTCCAAGTATACACATGTTTTCCTTGCAAGTTCATTTATAAATTATTATATAATAAGGCAAAAATGATTATGAGATTACTTAATTCGATAATATTCGTTGATGTGTTTCGTTCCTTAAAAGGAAGCAGGAACCTCATTCTTTGATGCTTTTTTCATCCTACATACTCATAAAGCAAACAGGTTATTGCATTCACAGGTTGAATGCCACAAAGCCGATGAAAGATGTTTGCTCGACCAATATTTGGCTTAGAGAGATTTTTACATTAACCACAATTTTCAATTTTTGTCTAAATATTTAGCATCCTTTCCGACAAAGGAACGTATTTTCTTTTCGATGTCGAGTGCAATCTTGATGGTATTTTTAAATTTTTTCAACTGGAAATATTATTTGCTTTAGAAGTTGGTATTAGTACAGAAATTGAATTGGTTTTAAAGAGTAGATATTCAATCAACAAACGTTTCCTAATTTTTAATTTTTTCACTCCTTACCAAAACAAACTGAACGGGCTTTAAATTCGATGTGTTTGTAACACTTAAAAGAGGTGCAGTACGTTGTAAATATTTAAAAATATTAATGGGATCCTGAAATAAACGCATTTATTTGTGTACATATTAATTATTTGTTTATTTCCAACTACTTGTTTGGTGCATTTAGATTTAGAAGCTCGTAAAAACTGCTTAATTACAATCACTTTCTATTAAATGGATTCCTCACAGCAATAAAATAAATATTTCTATAGGGGCTTGAGTGTTAAACTTTTTTCTGTCTGCTCATCCGATGAAATGAGTTAGATCTATTTATTAGAAAAAATATGGCGGGCTATTACAGTATCTAATAAAAACGCGGTAATGCAATTACGGTGGTCCGCTCAATATTAATTCAGTACGTTAAGATGTTGATGTCTGGATGTCTGGCTTGATAACCAGATAATATTCGAATTAAATTCAAAACTTAAACGCCAGATGGGCTTTACGACGTGGCTAAATATACTGCGTATATTCAGAAAACGAGATTGTGGGGACAACCCCAAAACAATGGATGTTTAAATTAACAGCTTGTTTGGAAAATACCTGGAAAAATGTTACGATTTATATTAAAATACCCCGTTTATTCGGTATTTAATGCACGGAAACAGTTACTTTTTTTTTTCAATTAAACTAGCGATTGATGATCGGAGGATTGTAATAACGGATTTTACGGATATTTGCTCGATTGTTGCGGTGGAAATACTTTTGCAATAAAACCAATTTAACCAGTCAATGAATAATTTAACTATCAGAGTTGACTTACTTTTTATTGGTAACGATAAACCCTACAGTAATATTTTGTATTATATGTTCAGTTATTGTATGAATATGCATAATGACACGAAAATGCAACAACTTTAATAAATTATAATCACTGTCGTGTCGAATTCGCAATTATCTAACTATGCTACAAGTTCAAAGAAATCCGGAATTTAAATAAATAATTGCGTTCTATATCCTTACAAGGAATCAATGACTCGTACGATTGGCATTAACATTGAATAGCCCCGCTTCATGAAAGCACATTTTACATTTTTCGCATTTGCGTAATTCCTTTGGCGATAATCAATAAATTGCCGATTGATTATTTATTTTCGGCAAGTAATGCAATTAACGTCGAATGCACGTTCCTTTGCAGGCTCAATTCTCACTACGAGCCGTTTCGTTTACTTTAAGTATCCGATTTCAGCGAACTTATTGCACTTTTCACGTACTGGCGGGCACATGGAAAGCGATAATTGATAATTGTTTAGTCTTAAAAATCGAGTGCAACGACATTCGCGTCTTAAATCGAGCTGGAAATCGGACCGTAATCGTCCTCGACGTAAAGTACCTACGTGCACGCGGTGAAAAGAGCCCGCTAAGTAAAACCATTCTAGTTCATTTGCCGCAAAACAATGAAGTGTCACATAACTGTATAGAGGAAGTGTCGCTGAGCCGGAGCAATCGAGCTGAGTTTCGTGGTCAGGATAATCTTACTGCGTATTCGATTTCTGTAATCGAATACAGGGTGTTCTGAAACAAGTCTTACGTAATTTCCACGTCAATGCAATGGGATATATTCGTAGGTGTAACGCGCACTAAATTACATTGCATTTTCGAATAGATAGAATTTTTTTGATAGAGAATCAGTTCCCAAAAGAGGTGTGGTGTTTGACCTAAACATCAAATATTTGTTGACGGGATAAACGGTTAGATTAGAGTGATTTATACACTTTATTACATATCTATGGATTTATATTCTCTCTATGCATTCTATCGCAATATTTTTTAAGATCAAGGCAACTCTATAAAAAATACATACATATACATATGTTTAAGGATACATTTCTACCTGCGTATTTGTAACACAACTGGTAAAGTTTTTATCGGTAATAAATTTTGTAGGAGAATAACGATAACTGCAATCACACATCAGGTGTACCCAATAAGAGCGAATCAATAGACTGGAAAAAATAATTTGCTTTATGGCTAACTAGTAAAAACTAAGAACAAATAAATGGTATAGCGGTGATACGTTACGTAATACAAAATAACAAGGTACAAAACTTCAATGCATTTGAAATATAAAAAATAGTCGCCATTAAAACAAACCAGTTTGGCTAAGTTTATGGTCACAAATTCTTGATCTTGACATTAAAGTGTACTTACTGCTTCGACATTTGAGTAAGGAATACCTATTGTTGTATTATGTTATATGCTATATGGTCAGAGCACTAGATAGAGAAACGGACTACAAACTCATAATAATTGAATACCAGAAAATTGATATTTTTTTCATTCGCATTTCTTTCTGTTATACATATGTTATCTAAAATCTACTCAACGCAAGCATTACCTAAAATATAACAATATTATGAAAACATTAGTTTGTAAGTTTATCAATTCGGGTCGTATTTCATTTTGATTTCAAGTACATTCATTTTGCAAAGCGTAGACGTAGTGATTTAATAAAATTTCTCCGTTTTATTGATTGCAATTTGATCGTGGATATAAGTAGGTACATGGATAAGTGCAAATTTGTTTCCAATGTGGTTTATTGTACGAGTTGAACAAAGAAAAATTATTAAAATAACAGTTGTCAGAGTGAAAAGTTGCAATGACACAATATCACTCTTTTTTTTTCCTTTATAAGTGTCTAATGGAAGTTTGTCTTTATCGCACTCATAGCCAGTATAACCTATATTGCAAACTAAAATGAATCAACCTGTATACGAACATTTGTCAAATTCTAATTTTAAGGTCTACCGTTTTGACTATTTAAACATTCAATATATAAATATATGCTGGAGGTATCTATTAAAGTAAATATAAATAAATTAGTTGGTTTTTAGAAATAAATAAGAATGCTTGTATTCATGTTGTTTCAGAATTTTACGACTTGATTTTGCGACAACGTTTCCTTGAAGATGTCAATCAGCGGTTACACGTGCATAAGAATATCTTTTTGCTGGATAAATGTAATATTTTGGGTAAGTTTCATATAAACTCTAATAACTTATTTATTTATTATTAATAAAATTTAAGTAACCATAATGAAAAAATTAATAACACTTAAGTTGTATTGGTAAACAAGCATCGCCTGTATCAATCAAAATCCATTTAAAATTAAACAGCCTCATAAATCAATTAATGCTTATTTTTTGAGATAAACTACAAGCTAACAGAAACTCAACGATTCGTGAAAACAAAAATGTCCAATTAAGCGTTTTGCCTTCCTCTATTTTTTACCAAACCTATAACAGGTGGGTACTCGAATTATGCGGCATGCAAGTACCGTGACGTGTCTTTGAATGTACCTGTTACATGAAAGAGAAAACGTTCACTACATTTTTACAGCACCCAACTCGGTACCATTAGATGAGTTACGAAATAATTAAAACCAAACGCATAGTCCGTTTGAAGATGTATTTTCTAATAATTTTATTGCTCAAAGATTACAGGATGCGGATTGCTAGGAGTAGGACTATGGCTCAGAATAGCGTATGAAGGATACGCATCTCTCCTGCCGCAATACGCCCTGCTGAGCGCGGATTCCCTGGCCATTGCGTTCGGGACAATTACATTCATATTTTCGTTTTTCGCATGTTGCGGTTCCTGGTTCCAAAACCGGTGTATGTTGATAACAGTGAGTTCTATCATACAATGCATTACTTCTAGAATGCATCACCCATTTATTTTTGCAGTATTTCTGTTTAGTCGTGTTCATATTTTTGCTGGAATTCGTGTTCGGATCCGTGGCTTTCGTGTTCAGAGAGAGCTTGAAGCACACGTTAAGCGAAGAACTGCAAAATGGACTTTTGCACCACTACAATATGACGTCCCAAGGGCCCAATAGTTTGGTACAAATCTGGGATAACATTCACGTAAAGGTAATGTTTTAGCGAGCACAGGGTGATTTTCCACCCGATATTTTCCCGCTCAAATTTTTCCTGCAAAGAAGCCAAAGCGCGTCAATTTTGTGTTTGAAGGGGCATCTAACCAGCATATTTTCAAACTTGCTTAAACGGGACTCTAAAGTTCAAGGTTCTTGGCCTAAAAAATTCATAGATTGAGAACGGATGAGAATTGAATGGCCTTTAAAACCTTGTAGTTATATCCCGACCGCTAGTCCCGTTAAAGGTTTTGAAAAGGATATTATAAAAGAGTATTTGGTATAATTCTAGTTTGGTTGCTGCGGCGTTAAAAGCTACGAGGATTGGTACATGATAGACGCCTGGCCTGACGAGAAGTGGGTACCGGATTCCTGCTGTTTGCCGGCGAATTACGACCTGAATTGCGGCAAAGTAAGAGACGCCGGCATCTACACGCAAGGCTGTTATGCCCAAATCAACAATTTTTTCATCAGAAGACTGGACATTATCGGTTTCGTGGGCATTTTAATCGCATTTTTTCAGGTAAGTGCGAATAGTACTCTAATCGCTGGTGTTATTAGAAATGTTTGTTTCAGTTGTACGGTTTAATATCGTCTATGATACTGTTCTGCACGGTCAAACACAAAAGGTCGTCGAGGACTTACAAGTCTTATTCGTAGCGAGAAATTAAATAGCGACGGTATTAAAAATTTATTGTTAAGGAACGTTCCAAGTACAAAAATGTAAAGGCTATAGCTATAGCGTAGTACAATAGCTATAAATGTTCGCAGATAAACATTATCAGGATTCTTTGGTACTACTTACAAACGTACGGAATGTATACAGGGTGTTGATGTTTGTCTATAACGGAGCAGTTAGATCTACTATAATGGTTCATGTACCTGTAAAAGAATCTTCGAATACCGAGGGCTCTCTGAAATAGAACCACCCTGTATATTTTTTAGTATGTATGTACTACCTACGAAAGAAACGCCTTAACTGTTCAAATATTATTTATTCTTGCATAAAATAAATTGATAGATTTGTTTCGAATTATTTGTATTGTTTTAAATTCAGCTCGAGATATTTTTTATCAATTTGTATGAATCCATATTTTTTACATCTGTGATTAGCAATCTAGGTTTTCAACAATTGTAAATTTTTAAATATCCAAAATGTTCCTGGGTACAAAGAAAATGTTCTAAAGAAATATGTTTAACTTAAATTTTATTTATTTTGGGAAGATTATATTTATTGTGCATGTATTTGAATAAAAAAAGAAAAAAGTCGTAGTTTTTTTCAAGACTTTATCCCTATATGTTTTAAAACTCATTTTCTAATATCTAATATAAAAAATAATTGCACCTATTAAAATAAATGTAAAATCTGTTAATATTTTTTTTGCTATATAAATACATGATACTCTATAATATTTATTAATGATACTAAAATATATTTCTGACTCTTATTTTTAAATTTGCGTGTTGTTCTCTAGAATGTTGGTTCACATTTTTACTCTTGTTCACATTCTGGCTCTTGTTCACATTCTTGTTCTTGTTCACATTCTTTCCCTTGTTCACATTCTTGCTCTTGTTCAGATTCTGGCTCTTGTTCAAGTTCTTGTGAAACACGAAACGTTTTAACCACCTTGTTTAAGTTTCTGACAAGCAAAGGTGCTAAATCCTGAAACAAATTTGGAATAAAAAGCATATTGTATATATACGATAAAACTAGTCAGAATTTACCTCCTCTTCAATGCATTCAATAAGCTCGTCTAGTAGAGACTGAAGTTTCGGACTTGCTGAAACATCATCGATCATGAGCAACAATTTCGAATACACCAAGTTAATTTTCTCCTGAGGCTTTATTATAATTTCCTGAATCATTCCAGTCGCTATGTTTAAAGCGATACTTTTAGCCTGAAAGAATATGTTTGTAAGTAATTTCGAAACATCTGAACATTTTCTTACTCCTGGAGAAGTTTTTTTAAGATCCAATATGAACTTTGCTATATCCTCTATTTTAACGAGCGTTAAAGGACTATTTTTCGGTGCAGAAAATAACGTTTTAACGGTTGTAAAGAATGCTTTTTCTAAATGCTTGGCCACTTCTAACTTAGATATATGTTCCAGTGTTTTACCGATGACATGTCTTAGTACATCACCTTCAAACGAAAACGTTTACATATAAACCTATATTGAAATTGGTTTCCATATTTACTTGTAGTAGATACAGCCCATTTTAGAATCAATCTAGAAATCACCGAACTCGACATGATTATATCGCTTTTAACCAAACGACATATAACACTTCCAGCAGTTTGTTGGATCTCACTGTTCTAAAAACGATGCGATAATTATGCACACAAAAGGTCATAATAAAAACCTTACATCATCGTCCAACAAGTCGAAGAGGCCTTGTGCAATATCTTTAAGAGATGTTCCACCGGTGAAAATAGACAGTTCATTTTCGTCCATGCTTTCGGACAGTTTTTCGGTATCCGGAATGGCTAATAATTGCGCTCCATGCACCACCAATAAATCGGACACTGCAGATATGCAAACAATCAATGTATCAATATCACATTCCTCGTCGTGACTGTAAGCTGATATCTACAAGAAAAATATTAGCAACCCAAAATTATTTTACAAATTAAGATCACTCACAGGCACCATTAAAATATGAATTCCCGTTTTCGCAGTGTTCTTATCCATAATGGAGCAAAGCGCGTAGGCCTTCAAGGCTTTGATTTTCAGTTGCTCTTGACTTCCGAGCAACATTGGCTCTACTAACTCGGATTTTAGTGTTTTGATGGAGCTCGTCAGCGCGGTTATACTCGGAGATAAGAGTAATGCTATGAAAATATCGATGCATTTAACTTGCGCCGCGAAATCGGTGGTTTTAACTAGATTTTCATCGCTTTGATTCAAAGCTCCTTTTTTAAGTGCGTCTAATTTAACTTCAATATCACTTATTAGGGTCTTCAAACGCTCGGCTACTTGCCGATCTTGGGTTTTAATTGCTTCATCCTGTTTGCATTGCAAAGCAGTTAAATCTGCAGCAAGCGCAGATATCTGAAAATCATATGCACATTACATTATTTGTACAATTTTGAAAGCAAAAAATAACATTTACCTGATGTTCTGTAGTAGGATACAATAAATCGGAAATAATTTCACAGACGTGTTTAATGTGGGTCTCTATATTCAAAGAGCTATATTCCAAAATAGCAATTATAACTTCGATTACATCCGATCTGAGCTGGACATTCAACAAAATATGAAATATTAAAGATTTTACGTAGTTTCTTTGTACACTATCAGCAAATGTATACAGCTTAATCATCATGAACAACTCTTTCAATATAATCTGTTCACTTAAAACTTCCTCCGAAGTACATTCTTTGGAAAAATTCAAGTAAAAGCTGCAAATAAAAAAAAGTTATGTCAAGTTTGTATGGGTAAGTTCAGATTTGTTTGCAATATGGTCAATTCTACGAGTTGAACAAGGAAAGATGACTAAAATGACAGTGGTTAAAGTGAGAAAGTTGTAGGTACTTACTCTTTTATATGTTCACTGAGAAAAATCAACTCGGGTAATGTATTTTCAAATACCTCATCATATTTGCTCTCTTTCAAGAATTTTATATAAGTTCTCCATATACAGGCAGTCTCTACACTTAATTGATCAATGGGTATTAATAAGTGTTCATTTAAAGTTATTGACGATATATCTTTTAAAGTACCACACCTAGAAAATATAATCTATTACATAGAGAAATCATAAATCAAAATGCTTACTTTAGGCAACTTTCCACAATTTTTTTATATAGTACAGTTGTAATATTAACTTCATTTTCATTAGAAAAACCTTTTAAAGACTTCAGAAGCATTACGATATCGTTGTTATAGGACTCTAACCAGGATTTAAGTAAGACCTTCGTTATGTAATTCGTAATTTCAACCGATTCATCAGCAAAACCAATATTTAAAACCAATCGTTTTTCCATATTCTAAAATCAAAACAACGACAAATTAAACAATTCATACATTCATAATTTATTTATAGTACCTTTAAATGTTCTGCTAAGTACGAAAGCCTCTTAAACGCAGCAAGTCGGACATTAACATTTACATCACGAATCCGATTGATAATGCAGGGCAATACAGAATTTGTACATCGTATATTTTCTATACAAAGTTGTCGAACCTAAAAATTAACAATAATAAATACTCTATAATGATACCTATAATTGATCCATACCTTTGCTACACCGCTATTATTCATTAAGCGCTTAAACTGCAGTATTATTTCATTTTCATCTTCATTCGATTCTTGAAATTTGCTCAGTATAAGTATGGCAAATTCTTTGATAACGAGCTTAGGATCCTAGGAATGTTTTTAAGCAGATATTAATTACAATAAGATTAGAATTTACAATACTCACATATAGTCTATTGAGGAAGACATTTTGTAAATTGTTCATCAATGTCTCACTCAAATCGCTAACTTTTTCAATGATTCCATATATCAAAGTACAAGATCTTATTCGTATGTTGTTATCGATCAAGACACAAGTCTACAAATAAGTTTGTTATTATTAGTTCTAAGGAAGTGAAGAAGGAAGTATACCTTTAGTAAAAAATTTAAAATATCTTCTAGTAAAGGGTGGTCTCCGTGAAGTACAGCACAGAATTTGCAGAAGAGTTTCATAACTTTATCTACTCCTGCATGTTTCAAAGGATATTGCAGAAAAATTTGTAAACAAACTTTGATACTGGCGAAAAACTCTTCATGATTGGACTAAAATAAAAGAATTAGGTAAGTCATATAAGCTGCTAAATCTACGATTTGTTTATATTATAATGTACTTACGTCTTTATAAATTTGTTTTAACTTTTTGGTATTTTTTTCATGATTACTTGTACTTTGTTGGCCAGAACTAAATAAATTATATATTTCACGGGTTAATCTTTCATTCCCAACACTATCCATTTTTAATTATTATTTGTTTAATTCACAATACTCACTGAAATAAATTAATAAAAAAATGGTTAATAAAAAACTCCAAAAAGAATTTGATAAACGAAACAGCCATGACCGTTTTTGTTGGGGTTGTCAAACACCTGCGAATTTGAATTCGAAATAGAGAGTTCTGTAAATTTGTGTTCTATGAACAAAGAACGTGCTATTTCTTCTTTTTTTATAATCTTTTTATTTAAACACTATCTTCTACTGAGTTATTGGCCTATGTATTCTGAATTATTTGGCCATTTATAGCTAGTTTCAAAACATGGCATTTGACATTCGTTGCAGTTGACAGAAAACAATTTTGACGTATTACTTCCTAAAAATTTTTATTTGTGCTGGTACTGAAAATTTAATTGAGATATTTTCAAGTGCTTTAAGGATGAATATTACTTCGGCTGGTAAGTGTAATTCTATTATTCTCCAATATTTTTATTGTTAGTGCTTATTCCAACAAATATTTTAACACGTACAATATTACTCCAGGTTCTGCAAGTCATTGACAGTTGTATTTTTCTTAATAACTTGGAAATTACGTTTTCTCCTGAATTGAGCCTTATTTTATATGGAACATTTCACTTTTACCGGTTTTTTGCACATTAATTCCTTGTATTAAACCTATATTCTAATTGATAATATTTTGCTAATCATCATAACCTCAAATGACAATTAGTTACAAACTTCATTCTGATTTCAGCGGGGATTATATCCCTTTTAGAAGAACCAAGACCAGAACTGAAAGTATTCGCCTTAAGGAAACTAGATTCCATAGTTGATGAATTCTGGCCAGAAATCTCGGAAGCTATCGAAAAAATGTAATTACGTTACTATAATAATTTCGCCTTATATTTATTAGAGACATTTTTTAGAGAAATTCTGCACGAAGATAAAGTGTTCCAACAACATCAGCTAGCTGCTTTGGTTGCTAGTAAAGTTTACTATCATCTGGGTGCATTCGAAGATTCATTAACGTACGCTTTAGGAGCCGGTGATCTCTTCGATGTTAACGCTAGAACTGAATATGTCGAGACCACGCTCGGTAAAAATTTTTACTTAATTTTTTTATTTGCTGTTAATTGATTTATTTTTATAGCAAAATGTATCGACTTCTATACGCAACAGCGCATCGCTCTGGCAGAAGGTTCGACCGATGCGAAACCTATAGATCCGAGGCTCGAAGCGATCGTAAACCGAATGTTCCAACGTTGCTTGGACGACGGGCAAAACCGGCAGGCAATGGGGCTCGCCTTGGAGACCAGACGAATGGACATCTTCGAACTATCGATCACGCAAGCCGACGATATTATCAGCATGCTCACCTACGCTTTCCAAGTGGCGATGAGCCTAATCCAGAATCGAGCGTTTCGCAACACCGTGTTGAGATCGTTAGTAGGCCTGTATCGCGGCTTGACTACCCCGGACTACGTCAACATGTGTCAATGTCTGATCTTCTTGGATGATGCGCTAGCGGTCGCGGAGATTTTAGATAAATTAGTGTCCGGCAAGGAAGAGTCCGAATTGATGGCTTACCAAATAGCATTCGATCTCTACGAGTCCGCAACGCAACAGTTTCTGGAGAGAGTTTTGGTCGCGCTTAGAGCTACAGCTCCCATACCTTCGCTGTTGGAGGAAAAGGTTAAATCTAAAACCGCCGAAACATCTAGCAGCACTTCAGCAGAGTCTGGCAGCAAAGATCCTGTCGTCGGTGAAACTAAAAGCGAGGCGAAAGAAGAAAAATCTATCGAGGGTTTGGTGAGTTATATTTAATATGTTTTATTTCTATGTAGACAATATGTACTAATTTTCGTTTTGTTTTCAGACTGAAAGTGAAAAGGAACACCAAAAACGAATCGAAAAATTGCACACCATCTTATCCGGCGAAGTATCGATAGAACTCCATCTTCAGTTTCTCATTAGATCCAACCACGCCGATCTTCTTATTCTGAAGCAAACGAAAGAAACGGTTCGAGTTAGTATTTGCCACACTGCTACAGTGATTGCTAACGCTTTCATGCACAGCGGTACTACCAGTGACCAATTTTTAAGGTAAATCGTGAGATTGTTATAACGATAATTGTTAACATTTTATCGTTTTTGTAGGGATAATTTGGAATGGCTAGCCAGAGCGACGAATTGGGCGAAACTTACAGCTACAGCCTCCCTGGGTGTTATCCATCGTGGGCACGAGCAAGAAGCTTTGACGCTCATGCAAAGCTATTTACCGAAGGAAGTCGGACCGAGTTCCGGGTATTCCGAAGGCGGCGGTTTGTACGCTCTTGGTCTTATTCACGCCAATCACGGTGCTAATATCATCGATTATCTCCTTGGTCAACTGAAAGACGCTCAGAATGAGGTAATGCGATGAACGAAGACCCGTTGTACGAAGGTTTTATCGATGTATGTATCGTTTCCAGATGGTTAGACATGGCGGTTGTTTGGGCCTCGGTTTGGCTGCTATGGGGACGCACAGGCAAGATCTCTACGAACAGCTCAAGTTCAATCTCTATCAAGACGATGCTAATACTGGAGAGGCTGCCGGAATTGCGATGGGTATGGTTATGTTGGGATCCAGTAATTCCACTACTATCATGGATATGGTAGCGGTAAGTGTAAAATGTTTATGAAATATTTGTTTGTTATTGAATAGTGAAACAATTGGATAGTTATTCGAGGAATAATTTTTAACATAATATGAACTTGTCGCTTAAATAATGGGTACAAATCGAGACAAACGGAATTTCATATTTCACGTTCAAACGTCCATATCAATCGTAATGCGAGATCCACAGATAAATCGACTGAAACCATTTTCGATTTGAGGACTATTTTTGTGCCCGTCAATTTTTATTACCTGTTTTGTTTTTGACATGCCATACGTAGCTAGATTAATTGAAGTCAAGTAAAACGGGAAAAAAATGTTTTATCCGACAAAGCGTGCTTTGCCATTTTACGCAAAGCGAATGGTTACATTAATAACAACGAATGTCGCTTTTAAAACGAAAAAAACTGCAATTTTTTCCAAACGCTTATTAGGACAGAAAATTGTTTATAACATTCCGTCACATTTGTATTGATCGTGTCTTTTTTTGCACTAGCTTTTTACGTGTTTTTTCCCCGAAATAAATTGCTCGGTTAGAATGACATTTAACCGAAATTAGAAGAGAAAAAGCCGCTTGTTGAATTACGTAATCGCAAAAATGGATGTTCACTGTTGGAAAAGTTTCGCTTAAGGAATTTTCGTCGACATTCAACTCCCAAAGTGGTTTTTTACCCGCGTACTTAATGCGGAAAAGTTGTGTGAATCGGAAAGGAAGAAATAAAGGAAACTCGTTGAATAGTTCTCGAGAAATTTATGTGCGAAGCGACATGTCATCTGGAAAATTGCAATTCACCAGCCGCGTACACACATATTCTCGCATGCGGTAAGCCCGCTGAAGAAAGGAAAGCTCAAAAATCATTTTACATTTAGCTAATGCAATTTTAATTATTTTGATTCGGCGTACATTAATTTCGATAAAACCGGAAAAAAATCGCACGTTTATCGTACTTTATGGACATTGACATGATGTATTAGTCCAAATTCGTGCTCATGGAAGTGTTAACAGCTTTTAGGCCCGGACGGGAAATGACCGAAAATCATGGGTAAATGTTAACAAGCGTGGAAAACGTGTTAGCGGAATGTTTTAATAGAGTTTATTATTTATTCTATACAATATTACATTACACGCAATTCGTAGATTATGGTTTTATTATGCGGTAATGGAAACTTATGTGATATAGGTAATTGCAAATAATTCTCACCTAGTAAATGGCCGATTTTGGGTGTTAAATAAATAAAATATTGCAAAAACACGAATACATTTATGTACAAAAAATGCCTGAATATAAAAATTTTTGTAGTGCCCTTTTGTAATTTGTAACGCATCTCGCATGCAAATATTTTAATAACGAAACCGGATGGATTTATTTGCCTACAGATTTCTCTTGCGCTTTAAAACAATATTGACGTTTTCTTTTATGAAATTTCACATGCTACTGATTTATTCATAACAAAATATCAAGGGGGTTCACTGAACAGTAAAACTATCGAATTTTCACGTAATTTTTTCCCTCGAAAAAAGAAAAAAAATCGAGGAACAGGAGAATTTATAATACACAATACCGCAATGTGAGTGTATTTTGAAATCAAAAATACTCTTTCGCTTAAGAGATTCAATTCAGTATTTTCGCAAATATCTTTACTAAAAGAGCTACAATTCCATTTGGCGTTACTGCGCGCAGCCAAATCGCTGCACAACAATAATAATCGAATTTAATTCGCAGCAACTTGTTCCATCTCCAAAACGCAACAAACCGAATGGTGAATAGTGTGCATTAAATTGTTTTACACATCAGGCATTAAATTATTCGCTGTACATCAAAAGCGAATAATTTGCGATAGTTTCACAAGACAATAGAATCGCGTACAATCCGCCGTTTGCCATGAATCCTTACTGTACATTCCATCGTGAATCTACAAGTATGAATGTGTAAGTACAGAGGCATGTGTAATTGCGATTCGACGTAAACAGGAATATTCATTTTTGCGTATATTCCGGAATACGCGAACAACCAGCGAAGCCATTTCTATTGCGAATAGAAAGAATATTTTATGTTTTATTACAATTTTAAAAATCGTTTTCCGATGTTTTCTTTTCATCTACGAATGTTTATGATCGAGTTCATCCAACAATTCTATTTCGGTCTATTTTATTTCCCAGCTAGGTGAGTACATTATTTAAACATGAATTCGACAACAGCATCGATTGGAGAAATTGTAGTTTGTTTGAGACTGCTTTGAAATTTGGTCACGTTTTTATTGGGAGTATGAGAATTTATGTTAGGATAGAACATGGGCGTCTCAGATATTTTCTTTTGCTTTCTATAAAATATTGCTGGTGTTTTTACGGCCAATCTGAACGTTGATTAATATTTACTTTTAATAATGATTCAGTTGAATCGTAAAAAATACGATTTTTTCCCGAATTGAAGGGTAATAAATGGATTTTCGCATGGACCCTCTGTAGTTACGCTCCCTCAGCACATGGCTCTTTTAAATTATGTCTGCTTTTGAAAGATTTCGGACGAAGTAACTTTCCTTTGAAAAATGGGGTCAGTTTCTCATATAAAAATGTATCGTAACGACATCGTAAAAACATATTTGATATTTTTTAGTTAAGGATGTTCCTTGTCAATTTCCAACGGTACAGTAAATTGAATCTCGGCCCCTTTCTTTTCGCGCTATATGTTACATTTTACGGTTCATAAATACGATCAATGTCTACGAAATTAAAAAAAAAATCTTAATATACCGATACCCAAATCGAATATGCTTCCTCTGGCACTAATACGAATTTTAATTTTTCCTTGGATAAAGCACTTTTTTCTTTCTCTTTCAGTACGCCCAAGAGAGTCAACACGAAAAGATTCTTCGCGGTTTGGCGGTCGGTATAAGCTTCACCATGTACGGTCGATTAGAAGAAGCTGATACCCTAATACAACAGCTTATTTCCGATAAGGATCCGATCCTGAGAAGATCCGGCATGTATACATTAGCTATGGCTTATTGCGGTACGGGACATAACCAGGCGATTAGAAAATTATTACACGTTGCGGTAAGTAATACTTTGCAAATACTTTGATGTTATTTTATTAAAAATATACAAGATATCGGCGGAATGTTTAGTTTGTTATACTCCGTTCGCCGTCAAGTAGGTAAATCGGGCTCTGAAAATAACCATAAATAATTCTTTTAATGATTGAGAATTTTTATATACAGCAAACTATTTTCATGCATATCTTTTCTTTCAAATAATTATAAAAAATGGAATTTCTTGTGCACTCGACTCCACTCTAGAGTACTTTCTATTACTCTACTACTCTACACTGCTCTTCACTACACTACTCTACAATACTCTCTACTACTCTGCTACTCTCTACTCTAGAATACTCCATAATGCAGTAAAGTCTAATTTAATACTTTCCTTTTCTATATACCTGAAATATTCTAGCGCCTGATTAACCTATTCGATTAAAATACCCTATTAAGCCCTCAGATGATAAATATATTTCTGTGTCCAATTTATCACCGCCTTATTATTAGTAAAATTTACCAAATTATTAATTTAATAGAGCTTTTTATTCATTCGTTGGCGCGCGCGCCTATGATTTACTATTTCAAGAAGTTTTCATTACTATCCCCCCGATAGCGAACGGAGTATAAGTGATGTGACGTTTTGCAAATTTGCATTCGGAGATTTTATTTTTGTGAAATAAATACCGACACATTTGATGATTTATTCAAGTGGTCGTGAAATAGGGCGAAATATGCGATGGAACTTAACGTTGGGAACGTTCAGTGGAATATACGAGCAACACGTGCAACATTTTTCAACGGAAAAGGCGGCCCTTTTATCAACACGACAAGTTTGAATTTTGGAATAATTACGGAACCGACGCGACGCCACGCAACCCGGCGAATATACATATAAATTTTCCTTTCTATTGAATGAAAGCCCGTCCGTTTCTAAATTTGTACAACGGCGCCCTTGAAAGAACGTATCGAACTATTTGTTAGCGAAGCTCAGGGTAATATATCGATTTTCCCAAAGTTCAGATTTTCCCGTTAAATATCTCTTTTTCTTCCCTTTGAATCAATATTGTTTGGCTTGCTCCCTCTTTGCTGCTTTCAATTTACGGAACTTTCCCATCTACTATAAATCGTTGTCTCAGATTTATCAATCTTTGGGGAATTAATGCAAATATTTGCACTAACAAACTACTACTTTGTAGCATTATAAATGTTTGTAGATAATTATTAATTAAAATTGTTTTAAATCTAATCTGTCTAATCAATCCTAAGTTTCATAAGAACTACATTACATAGAACTTTTGTCATAAAATCAGGTCTATTATTCACTCGAAAAATCCTGTTATGAAAATGACTGTTTCAGCAACTGAAACAATACTCAATGCTCACAGCGATGATAAATAAAAAAACGGTCCCTTTCGATACAAATACGGAAAAAAAGATTATTTCGCATCGTTTGGAAACTTTATAATGGGAGATTCATAAAAGCTTTTTACAAACTTTTCCGCCGATTCTTCTCCATTATTAAAAAAAAAAATCTAAATTAAAAATTCCTGGCGTTCCATTAATTTTGAAGTCGTGTGCCGTTTTGTTTTGATACCGTAGCTCTTATTTAATCGAGAGAACGAAATTTGAAAAATAACGCTTATGTTGTAACGGTCGTAACTGCATCTCTATACAAAAAAAAATTATTTCCACCTCTATTAAACTTCTGTCATACAAAAAGTCGCTAATGTCACTCTTGACAGTTTTTGCTTATGTATCATCGAACGCATCTTAAAGTCCCCGTATTCGATTATAATGCATAAAGAAATTAGTAATTTATCGTAGAATAGAGTGTGGAATTCCTGCCTGTGATTAAGTTAAATGCGTTGCGCAATTCCAGTTCCAATATTTCTAAATTTTTGTATTTATATTTATGAAATCCACTTAATAAAAATGTACAAATGAAATACCTTTGTATTATTTGATTGTTTCAGGTTTCCGATGTAAACGATGATGTGAGAAGAGCGGCAGTCACAGCGCTCGGTTTCCTGTTGTTCAGGTGAGTTCAGGATAAAATATATTTGTCAGTCGTAAATCTATTACGTATGTAGTATGTATTCTCCGGCATTTCGAACGTACAAATGTAAATTGCAATGAGTGGCTTGTGTTTCGCGATTTATCCAATCGGTTCATTCGGCGTTCGCGTCGTATGAAAAATGTCTCGAGTATAAAGAAACAATTTATGTTAGGCCTTATCAATTCTTTTCGGTTAAAAAAAAAACGTAACAAAACGAAACGCGAGTTTCGTTCTATCGTAAATTCCGTTTCCATTATCAGATGGAAGTTTCGAAAAGTAATTTCTTTTTGTTTTTCCTTTTTGGTAAATTTATTCAACGTACGGGGAGTAAAAAATCCGTTAAACGTTTGGAATTTTTGCACGGATAAAAAGTAAAAATTGCGATTCTTCCTCGTTGCGGCTCGCGAGATAAATTCGTTAATTAGTGGAAAATATCCAAATAGCACAAAATTGCGGTTAATTTAGACTGTGAATACATAACCCGATGGAAAAAGAGAATTTACCATCGTGCTTTTTTCTTTTCTCGTCAGGCGACTCTATTCGGAAAAAAACCCCATCCAGTTAACTCGACGGAGTACATACGTTCATTTTACGGTTTAATTCCGTGGATATTTTACTGCGTTTCGCCGGCGAAACGATTTTTGCAGTTCATTCGGCTCTTTCGCAACGACGCTTTCGTTGATCCGCATTTTTAAATTTTTGCCGCATTACCCGCCGCAAACCGAAAAAAAAAACACTCGCATCGAATGTTTCATCCGCCGATAATCGTGTTACAATTTCAATTACATTTTAAGCTCTCCATTTTGCGTTTTTTCGCGCCCGTCGATTTTTTCCTTGCTATACAGGTTCTCTATTTACTGTATCTCAGATGTAGTATCCGCGTCTGAAGTAGCTCTAAAGGTAGCGAATTTTTTGGTCAACAGAACGCCCGAGCAATGTCCCAGCGTGGTGTCCCTTTTGGCGGAGAGCTACAATCCTCACGTGCGTTACGGCGCCGCCATGGCGCTGGGCATAGCCTGCGCGGGTACGGGCCTTCGCGAGGCCATAGCCCTGCTCGAGCCCATGGTCATGTTCGATCCGGTGAATTTCGTGCGGCAAGGGGCTCTCATCGCGTCCGCGATGATCCTCATCCAGCAGACCGAGCAAACCTGCCCGAAGGTCACCTTCTTCAGGCAGACCTACTCCCAGGTGATTTCCAACAAGCACGAAGACGTCATGGCGAAGTTCGGCGCCATTTTGGCGCAAGGTACTATTCGCTACATTAAATCAACGTCGATATAGTAACTAAGGAACCTTACAGGTATAATCGACGCCGGTGGCAGGAACGTGACGCTGTCGTTGCAATCCAGAACGGGCCACACTAACATGCTGGCGGTCGTCGGTACTTTGGTGTTTACGCAGTATTGGTATTGGTTCCCTCTGTCGCATTGTCTGGCTTTAGCTTTCACACCGACGTGCGTGGTAGCGTTGAATGCGCAACTTAAGGTAGGGAGTTTCGATTGCGATCGGACTGGTTGTTAATTTCCTGTGTCTTAGATGCCTAAATTGGAGTTCAAATCGAACGCGAAACCGAGCCTGTACGCCTACCCGGCGCCCATGGAGGAGAAGAAACGCGAAGAAAGGGAGAAAGTCACCACGGCGGTTTTGAGCATAGCCGCGAGGCAAAGGAGAAGGGACCACGAGAGGAAGCATCGCGACGAGAAAATGGATGTGGTAAGTCTTTGTGTGTTAAAAGGGAAAGATGAAATTGCTTCGAGTATCACATTCCTCAGGACGAAGATAAAGACGATAAGAAAACGGAGAAGGAGGAGAAAGAGAAGAAATCCGAAGACAAGAAAGAGGAGAAAAAGTCCGATGATAAGAAGGCGGACGATAAGAAAGCGGCGTCGTCGAGCGATGATAAAAAAGATAAGAAAGACGAGAAGGAGGAGAAGAAAAAAGAGCCGGAGCCTAATTTCGAAATCCTGCAAAATCCCGCCAGGACGATGAGGCAACAACTGAAAGTGATTACGCTCAACGATAACTCGCAATACGTCGCTATGAAGGACGTTTCCATCGGGGGACTCATTATGGTTCGCAATTTGAAACCCGGAGAAGAGGAATTGGTGGAACCTGTAGCAGGTTAGTAGAGTAAATTGTAGCGTAATACTGGTGAACATTTTTTTTTGTGTATTTAGCATTCGGTCCGAAGGGCGATGACGAAAAGGAACCAGAACCGCCAGAACCATTCGAATGGACCGAGGATTAGAGAAATTCATTAGTTGTTTCTAAAATCTAAATACTAAACTTGGTTTTTCTTTTATTCAGCTTAAGATGTTTTTTACATACAGTGTAGAATTATTTATTCATATATTTCTTGTATGCTGTAATATTCGGTAAATTTTTATAAATAAGCCATCGTTGAGCATATGAATACAATACGATTTTTGTCTAATCGAGTTTTGGTTTTATTTCAAACATTTATACCACAAACGCAAATTTCAAACAAGTAGGTGCTTCATTAGGAATCGAGTTAATAAATTTTAATTTTCAAGTGGAAATATGAACTCGGAAACACCGTATTTTCCATCCCAACTGAAAGCACAAATTTTATACGAGCTAGTTCACATAATGCAGCGCATCCTCCATAAATATTAATCATTTCTCAAGAATGTCGGGCGAAATTTTTAATCGCCAGGGTGTTAATTCGGTTTTTCTTAACGCCTTGCCTAACCTAAATTTCCCTTTTAATTAATGTTTCCTCAACTTTCCAGCACTTAATAAAGAGTAGCAAATTTTTCTCGGATTTTCGCCGGTGATATTTCACCAAAGGAACCGCGCGCTTAATGGAGAAGCAAATATCTTGATTAATATTCATTTAGTTTAAGCGTCTTGTAAGAATGATTCGGAATTATTTTTTAATTTCGGAATGAAAGCGGGCTTATAAAAAAGGCTCTCAAATTAATTTGGAAGATGGTGGAACTCTGATAGTAGGACTAATTTGAGTATTCTTGGGGGTAATTATTAATGTTGGGTGAAAAATAAAGAGTAATTATGCAGGTGTCTATTAAAAGTCGAATAACCATTTAATCTTATCAAATTAAGGACTTAGCGAAATGTAAAAGTTACCTGGAATTGGATCATCCTTCCCTTTCATTATTTTTTTCGCGGAGTTCGGCAAGTGTAATCTCAACTGGAAACTCAAACTCGATAAAACGAGTAGTTCGCTAAAGTTTACTTTCCAGAGATTTGGCTCTAATATATAGGATATTGATAAAAGCTTTCGAGAAAAAAATAATTTCCTGGGGAACCTTCTTCAAATTTAAATTATTAAACACCTTAAACAGATAGCACTCCCGCCAGGAAGTTAACGTGAAATACCTCCGCCCATTTTGGCCGGAAAACTTTTTTATATTTTCTTATCCCGCTTTTTCCCGCCGGTTCATAAAATCCAGCGCTAGGCCATAATTTCGTTCTTCTGCCTCTTGACCTCGAAACAAAAAACCACATCCATCCTTTGTAGTGTACCACTGGCTTTAATGAAATGTAGGGCGAGATTTTTGGTAAATCGTTAACTAAAACCTTCGCTGCTGAATGGAAGCGTGGAAGGTAGGTGCACAATGGACCGAGTCGTATAAATTGGGCTTTTAATAAAGGTTAAAAAAGTGTCCGGGAATTCCGCCGCATCAATTTAAATCATATACAGTGGCGTAATGAAACGGCTCGGCCCGGCTTTTCCGAAATTATCAGCTTTTCCCTGCCGGCGAAATCGAGATGTTGTTTTTAAAAATTGAAGGAGTCTGATAACGTAGCTGAATTAAAAATACAAAAAAAATACAAGTTTACCGAAGGCTAGAGTTTATTTCAGCTAATTTTCAGGTGCTTAGCTCACAGTAGGGGAAGTCGTAAAAATGATGAGCCTTTTCTTCGTGAGCCCTACGTCGTTTTTCCCTTGGTAAAAAAGTAAAAAGTCCTTACTTTTAATTATATTTGAAATATTTTAAACACAACCTCACGAAACAACAAAATTTTCTCACTACTTTTGTAAACAAATTTTTGTCTCTACTTTCATGCACATTTTCTCTCTACTTTTATGCACATAATTTTCTCTCTACTTTCACCAACAAAATTTTTTCTCTACTTTTATGCACAAATTTTTCTCTCTACTTCCTTGAACATTTTCTCTTGTATATTTTCATAGTATTGAACTCCAGCCTTAAGCGTTAAAACAATACAATAGTGCCCTTTTATTACTCGGAAAATTTATTACGATGATCATTATGTATGCAAAACATTTACTTGTTATCACGAGCGCGCTTTAAAATTGGTAATAACCAATTTCCCAGCTTGCCATATTTTTGTATATAGAGATTCGAAATCAAATAATTAAAGTAGGTTTAGTACAAAATTTGAATCTAAACATCTATTTGCATTTAAATGAAACACAAAAATTATGTAAATTGCTTCTGTCTATCTTCGCGAAATTTACCGAATATCTTTGTTCGGAATGTCGACATTGTGCTCTTTTTATAATAAACAAACGAGGTAAGATGCGAACTGCCGTAGAATTTCGAATTTAAATTACATTACGTTTTAATTAAGACGCTTCAAACTTGCTCCTGATTTTATTTAACCGCAAACGATTTTATCAAGATTTTAACCGTTTTACAAAAGCATAGATAATAAAAGCAGTAAATAATTTCATTTTTCCGGCTAGCTACCGATGCAGATTCACCTAGAATTATATTTGATTCGACTTTTAATCCTAACTTCCCCAAACTGGGTCAATTTAACAAACTTTGGGACACATTCTGGCACTTAAATAACTCCAACGGCTGGATTCGTCGGATAAGAGGAAAAGTTCTACTGTTGCTGAGTTACATAAACATTGTATCAGTCTGTTTGCTAAATATATCCAATAGGAATATTTCTCACGTGCCGTAATTGAAGTAATCTTGAACTTCGTAACAGACAAATCCATCTCTAGTTGCCCCATTCACGAATATTTCGAAATTATTCAAAACCTGTAGTTGAATTTAAATTTTTCTAGTTTTTTAAAGAATAATACGAAGGATTATGCTATGATTTTCCAACAAGTTTGTATCTGAAAAAACTTTTAGCTCACATCTGAATTTTAAGTTATGCATAGTCAGTACAGAAGTTACATATAGTAGGAATACGCCTACGAGTCACATTAGAGTGATTATGCGTTTCCACGCATTAGGAAATCTAATAAACATTGATTTTTTTCTTCTTACATTCCACGTTCGGAAAGAATACCCAACGGAACAAATACTAAACATATATTTTCTGAGGTGATTTGTCGATTGAATTACGATTATTATTTAATTGGTAAAATGAACAATATTTTCTATTGCTGTGCGGCGGTGGATTGCATTCTAAATCAGCAACATTCGTAATGAAATAATGCATATTAGGTACAAAGTAATATTAGAACTACCGGCTGTAGCATAATTTGATAATATTAATGCAAGAATAATATTTATGAAGATAAGCTAAATACGAAATTTTAATGTAAGGTAAACCGGCTTGCTCACACCGAATTGACTGAGTTTGCTTAGGGTGGAAGTCTTGTGATTTTTTCGCTTTTGACGCCGGTAAATAGTAAATACAACATAACATTTGCCAACAATATTCCAGATAAACTATATTAAATTCTATAAACGTAAAATGAACTGCAGCTGGAAAGCCTCGCGGAGCTTTTCAGAAAGTTAGATAATCCATTTAATTTTAATCTTCATTTAATCTTAAACATGTCCGGTATGAGATAAGAGAAGCTTATCATTCATTTAATTTATTGGCACCTAAATTGGGTATATAGAAAACAGCTTTGGTTTGAGGAAAGCCCAACGCCTACCGAAGAATCGATATAATTTATAGCGCGTGTCCCTATCTTGGCAATGAAAATAGGGGAGCTTTCCCGTTCGAATTTTTTTCTCATTAAAATGATTCATACGTGAAATTTGAATAACAATAGGGATTGAATAAATTTTCGACTGGCGTTGATATACACTTTTCTGGTTTATTAAACGGTGAAATTTACACGAATTCTCGGCCTTTCCGAGCTTTTTTTACGGCAAGGCACAGTTAAATAAAATACCAATCATCAAATCCACAAGTTATCCATTATTAATGCGCGGTCTTCGTAGTTGATTCACTAATAAATAAAATAATCGAATCGAATGAAACGCAGAAATTACAATAATAAACCAAATTACTTTCATTGGTATTGGAATGGAATAAATAGAGCAATCGATTCGAAGCCTTAATTTTTTGTTTTGGGACGACAACATCGCCCGTAATTCAACGCCTCGCTGCGAAAACGCTTCTACTAAATTACAGACTGAAAATTACCTTAGGTTTCCGGAAGGCGTCCCGATCACGTAGTTCGTCAGAATCTACTTAAATCTCGATCCACGACACTTCAATTTGGCTTTATTGACAACAAAAACCTGCTTAATTATTCCAACGGATTTAAAACTCCTTGTAGGGCTGCCTATATGTAAAATAATTGTACTAATGCAATATCCCTGCAGTTCGATTGTTATCGGAAATTATTAATATGCATGAATTTGTAGATTGATAATATAAATTAATTAGACCAAGTTTGCGTAATTAAATATTCCTGATTACTGGTGAATAATCGAGTAAAAAGAATCCTTAATTTTTGAATATCTTATTCGGTGAATTAATTTCGGGAATCTATTTATGGGAGCTTTGAAAAATGATGTTAGACGAGAGTTGGAACGAAATAAACGCGGATAAGGGTGTTCCATTTGAAATATTGGAAGAGTGCAAAAGTGTGTTCCCGTTTAAATTAGATACTTTAAGGCCAAACAAAAACTGTTAACCACTTATTTTGATCATGTGATGTGGGAGGTTTCGACTTTTATTTATGGCCCGCGATTAGTCGGCTTCCCTATGGTGTATGTTTCCTTTTTCGTTCAATTTTTAACGAAAAAATTACACTCGTGGTTTATGTCGGTGGAGAAAATTCAACGTTCTTTGTAGGTTACGGAAAATTTACGAATATAAGTAATTCTATTAAAATCGATTTAAGCTTCAAAGAACTAAGAGAGCAAGCATAACATTGTCTGATCTAAAACCTATGAACAATACATCGCAACTTGAAGAGGACCAATTAAGGTAAATTGTACAGGCTTTAAAACTCGCACCAAAGTTGCGCCAAAATTTAATAGAGTCACAAAGTGAATTAAATCAGAAACAGTGGAGCCACGTTTTATCAAATTAGGCTCAATTAAAATAACTTATTTCATAAAAGTTTCCAAACAACGCTAGAAAGCCTCCTATCGAAACAGATATGCGAGGTATTTCTTGTAGAAGATTGGCTTTGTTCATTCATATCAAAACTATTTAAGAAATTATGTAATCTTGCAAAAAATGCAGATTAATAATTTTTATGCCGTGCGCTCGATAAAATTCCTCTCGCAACGCGTAGAAAAACAGTTTTTCAGGCGCGCTATCTCCATCGGCTTCAAAATTAATGAGGTAATTCCAAGTTTTTATGGAACACAAAAAATCCCCCAACACTTCAGTCGTTTATCCGAAAGTATATTAACCCAAAATTTTCGCAAGACTTTATTCCCAACAATGTTCACAACGCTCCGCATATGTGCTATATTTGCGACTGTCGCCACCTGCAACAACCTCATCAATTCAAACGAAGAAGATTTCCTAAACGATGGCTGCTTTAAGAAATTCGCCTCGACCGACATGACCGAATGCAATTTCGGCTACGCATCAAAACCCCTACCGAACACCTGCCGTGAAATGTGCGTTCCAGACACCTGCAAAACCGAGAAAGATTGCAAAATAGCCTCTTGCCCGAAACTCGAATGCGACCACCCATTAGTACCAAAGAAGTCTCTCTGCGATTGCTGCCCGAAGTGCGAGTCGCCCGACTGCAAGGCTCCCGCAGATTGCGCTAACGTGACTTGCCCGAAAATCAAGTGCGAATTTTGGCAGAACATCGCCTACGAAAAGTGCAGCTGCTGCCCCTCCTGCCAGCCGAAGGAATGCGAGACGCCCGAGACCTGCCGCATGGACCACAACCACTGCCCGATTCCCACGTGCAGACCCGGTCAAACGCTGCTGAAGGTTCCTTGCAGGTGCTGCCTCTCCTGCGTGGACAACAGGCTGTTCAATAGGCTTAAAAACGATCCTGGTTACTGCAAGGAGCGCGTCTGCAAGTTTGGTATGGTCGCTAAGAGAATATTCGAAAAAAGCTGTCCGGAATGCGTGCCAGAAAGGTGCTTAGTGTACGAGGATTGCGTGAATGTTTTGTGCGAGAAAAAAGTGTGCCAACCCGACGAAATCCTCGTACATTCCATGTGCCATTGTTGTCCTATCTGCACACCAAGATTCAATCTGAATTTATTATAGATAAAGCAATCTCTTATAAAATCATTTTCTAAACACATTATTACACAACATAAAATTTGTATACGTAGGAAATTAATTAAATAAACGATAATACTACAAAACCTCCGAAACGTCCTGTGCCTCTATTGAGACTAATTACCATCCAGTTGCTTTGTTTGGCGTCTACGGTAAGGATAAATCGATAGGCTATTGTGACAGATTGTCGAGGTTTGATAATACATAAGGCCCTTTATTGGATTTATGGAAAATTGTGTCGAAATTTTCGGGAAAGAGATTGTCAGATCGGTATCGTCGGATTGTAATCCTCGAATAATGTCAATTATTCTCGGACGGTTTACTGCAGGTTGAATAGCCGGCGATGTTTGGGTTCGGAATGATATTTACCAAAATTTCCAATGCGGAATGTATTAGGGATAAAGCCGTTTTATTATAGGGAGTCTGTCGAGCGTCGAGGGAAAGCAGATTTTCCTCACGCATCTCGATTATGCGCAGGTATACCAGGAAATTTGTTAAGGTGTATAAACAAAAATTCGAGCGATTCCTGAATGCACACCTACGTTCTTAAAAACCAGTATTAACGAAGTGATAAATGATTACGGGTCAGGCTCGGAATTGATGGTGATCAGTCAATCTGTCTTGTCAATGGCATTTGGCCGGGAAAACCAAGATCAGAACAAATTACACTTTACCTACCTATCGCGAGTGAAAAAGAACGAATCGCCAACATTTGCGAACTTTTTTATTTCGAACTAAACTTATTAATTATATTTTGATTATAATTAAACACCGATTTACATTTTGTGGAAACCAATAAAGCAACGTTATTCGAGTAAACGTAACTCAACACATTGTCAAATATTTTAATAATTCAAAATAATCACTTTTGAATATTATCGGCGTGCATACGAAATGAGAGACTGATAAATAATTCGAGCTATAAATACACTACGGATTAAACGTTATAAATTGTTAATTCCCCAACGTATAAAGAACAATGGTAGTAATTCGAGGTATGGAAATTGATTGCAAAAAAAAGGCGAATTGATCGTATACCACTTAAAACGTTAGAAATAATTCATATCACCATCATTCACGTAATGTGTTATTAAATATAAACCAAATGAGATAAGAACCAATGTGTAGATACGAAGTTCAAATACAATAAAACCGTAACTACTATAAATCATACACCCGGCTAAAGTAATTGAATATTGTGAGTGCAAAACATTATAAATATACCGTAATGAGTGTTATTAAAAATTTAGCTGAGGTATCAGCAAACGACCAAAGACTGTTTATTAATTCATTTGACATTGTTTTATCGGATCTGGATGGTAGGTAATTAACAATTTATTTATTCCATTATTATTTCATCACGATTTTAGGAGTAATATGGCTCAATTTCGAGCCCATGCCGAGGGCTGGTGATTGCGTGAAAAATTTAAGAAAACTAAACAAGACCGTTCATTTTGTTAGCAACAACGGACTGGCTTCTCCAGAAACCATTTTAACTGAACTCAATAAGGAATGCACGAATGTAGCGGCTGATGATTTGGTCGTTCCATCGGCAACCACGGTTAATTATTTGAAAAAATTAAATTTCAACAAAAAGATATACGCGATATGCATGCACCCGATGGGCGATCAATTGATTAAAAACGGATACAAGGTGCTTCGTGACCCGGTAAGTGTGATGTCTAGGCTGCTCGAAATTTTGAAATATGTTCCATTTCAGCCAATAACTCTCGAAGAGAACGTGAATGCTGTTTTAGCCCACAATGAGGAGGATTCGGAAGTTGGAGCTGTTATAATGGACAATGATGTAAATTTAAATTATTTAAAATTACAAAAGGCGTTTTGGTATTTAAGGAAACCGGATTGCTTGTTTTTGGTCACTCATAGAGATAAAGTAGCGCCTTTCGGAGCGAAAGGACCTCTTATAGGTGAGTACCTGGCTAATATTTCCGTATAGGATAAGATATATTGTACGTTCAGGAAACTACCATTTCACCGAAACTCTGAAAGAACTCACTGGAAAGAATTACGTCGAAATGGGAAAACCGTCTCAAACTTGCGTCGATTTTATAAAGGAGAAGTTTAATATATCAAACCCAAAAAGAGTTTTATTTATTGGAGATTCGTAAGTAGAATAGTAAACCTTTTTTTATTTGTTTGACTCTACTCTTCTTTCCTATATTTTATTTTCCGAATTTGTTTGTATTTTTATATTAGAATCCAATCTGACATGCAGATAGGGACTCTGGGAGGTTTTCAAAAATTATTGGTCTTAAGCGGAACCGATACAATAGAAGAAGTAATGGATTGGAAGTACCCGCAGGAATATAAGCCGCAATATTATATACAAGATTTAAAGGCTTTCAATGAAATTATTATTAAATCTTTGTTGAATTAGTAAAATTATTAAATACTAAAAATAGACCAGTTTAATTTTAACAAAAAAAAGTTTACACGACATGTACCTATTTGGTGATTTTTCTGAACTGCAGATAATTTGCAAACTTTATAAAAATGTATTTTGCTCAAACTTCTGAAGAAAGCAAGCTAATCAAAAGAACGCAAACTTGTAGAAATAAGCAAACTCTAAAATATATAATCAAGATCTACTCGAACTTTTTCTGCGACATATTTTTATATACTCTACTACTTAATACTTCGGAACTTAAAATAGAACTTTAAGTATTTGTAATGCTTTAATCAAAACAAATAATTAGATTATTACTCTTATACCGGCATCATCGAGAACCGACTTCAAAGGAATAAGGCAAGAGAGAAATATAAAAGTGTTTCCATTATTTTTCCTATCACGTCTTTTGGAAAAAGTTGCCGAGGATAAACTAGTCGAGAAATCATTCCGGGATTGATTGGAACGTCCTGATTGAGTTCCACCTACCTACACTAAATATCGAAAAAAAGCTGTCGTAGAAAACCCTGATACAAACATCAAAATTATAAGAATAAATTCGCCATGCTTTGATGGAAGACTAAGATGAATGACTTTCCCGATGAATGGAAAAGTGGCCTTGTCAAAAATTTACTGTCCTAGTAAGCATTCTAGTTCCGGTCAATGAAATTCCATTGAAGGTCCTTGTCAATTCAATCAACTCTCGACATTTCCTCTGGCTCTGTTATTGACCGAAAAAATGTATAATGTAGAGCGACACGTGTCAGATAGTGGCTACTAATGCATTCGTTACATTCTAAAAATAATAAAAAAAATTGTATTGTTAAATGTATACGTTTGATAAAGTTGACAAGAGTCAATTATGGAATACATGTGTGGTGAAAGTAAATAATAATGCATCCTTTAAAAACGAGAACTTACGGGCATAAGGGACTCTAGGGATCCACTTAAGAAATAAATACTCTATACAATGCTTCTTTATAGAAGGGTCGTAAAATGCGGAAACGGAAGATTTGTTAGTATAGTATGATGAGAACTTTAGAATTTAAAAGTGATACAGTTCGTACGTTTGTAAGAAAACTTGACCAAACCAACCAAAAACTAATCAACTAGATTTGGAAAAACCTGTACAAAAAACAGCTGCAATTCCAAAAACGTTACATTCTTGATTCAGCTTCGGCGATTTTCCGTTTAGAACGGGGTGAGAAAAACAAAGCAAGCATGCGCGTTTTCCCCACTCTTTCCACAAGAAAAAGTTTTCCGAACGCGGGCTTGCTGGTGATAGTGTAACGGACGGCGTCGAATTACCACGTAGCGTCCCGACGTTAGGTGAAAGCTCGTCGTCGTGCGCAATTTCGTGCTACAGGTGATACACCGGAAACACCTAGAAATGGGACTAGCGATGGTGAAAAATGGTGGAAATATTTAAAAACCTGCGCTAATTTAACGGTAAATTTTTTTTCACCTGACTAGAAGGTAAATTACTGAATTAGACTAAATTTCCGAAGAAACTTTTTTAATAAGTTCGTTTAAAATGTTTTGCAACTTAGTAGAAGATTGCGAAAAGTTGGTTAATAATAAGAACGAATGTCTAGAATATTTTGTATTTTTTATATATTCTTACGCAGTTACTTTTTTATTTCATTTTTGACAAATTGAATTTTTTTTATCTTATTTTGAATATTTTATACCCAGGATTTGGAAAATGCTATTTACCTTGAAATCCCTATACCAACAGAATAGTAAAGAAACAAATAAATTATTATCTAAAACTCTGTTATTACAGATACCTACATATAAAGTTTCATATAATACAGGGTGCCTCATAAGTTGATACTTTTTTTTAACTGTGTATAGATCTTTTAATTCTAAGCAACTTTTTGAAGTAGGTACATGTTTTTTATTCTGAAAAATAAAAAAGGTGGAAAATTTTAAAATTTCTTAAAATTTCGAATATTTTCCAATACGTACCTGCCATTACCATACAGGTGTCAAAAAATTATAAATAATGAATGATAAAAAATTATATCAGTCATGCATCAATCAAAATGGCGACAATTTTGCAGTGCAGTTCCTTTAACTTTTAATGAACAGGGCCGTATTAACTAACTTTTTTAGTAATTAAAAATTGAAAAAAACATGCTCCTTATTTTTCAGAATATTACAAAATTTTACTTGATAAAGATGCTTAGAATTAAAAGATCTATGCGCAGTTAAAAAAAGTATCAACTTATGAGACACCCTGTATATAAATACAACATAAATAATTAATCAAGGGAATATTATAATTAAAATAAATGAAAAATTAAAAACTAATTAATTATTGATAATAAAAAACTTATTTTTAACTGCAATATGATTGGTTGAATAGCTTATCTTCAATTTCAAAAATAATCATTAAGTTATTCTAGTGAATGTGACAACTGTGTATTTAGCTTCCAACGTTTCAAATATTTGGATTTGTCAAATAATAGCTTGTTACACGAAGTTAGCATATAATTTAAAGATCCGCGCGATATTTATTAGATATCTACTATTTTAAATTTCGAATTTTTGTAACAATAATGTTTGATTTAAATCTCTTAATTATTATTTGCTCATAATTCATTGAATAAAAATACCGCAAAGCACTTAGCTCTTGTACAAATGTGAAAAATTAACAACCAAGTAGGTACCTAATTTGTATTGATTATTTAATGAAGGAAACTTATAGAAAAGGTATCATATAAACTAACAATGTCGATATTTTATTTAATTTATCTTCACATTTTGCTATTGAGCGTGTCAAAGTCTCAATTAGTCGAATGATTTGAAATCGCGATGAAGCAGAGTAATAGCTTCGCAAAAATTTGTAGTGAATTCTCCAATTTACAGATTGGTAATTACCATTTAAAACTAGTCGATTTCAAAAAATCCGCTCTCTGCTTACAATGAAAAGGTAGTTTCGAAACTGCGAAAATTTCATACACACGCTAGCAAAAACTCAGGTTTCTACTATTATTTTCTCGACGGGCAAATTTTATTAGCCAGATTTTTAAAAAATACGTCAGGAAATTTTTGTTTTAAGTTTTTACCTGAATACTTTTATGCCGTTCACATTCCACAAACTCTAAACAGCTTGTTACAGCAAGAACAACACTTTTGCCGACATTTTTCTAACATCAAAAAGTTTCCTGGTAAAGCTGCACATATTGTAAAAATACGTAACATAACGGTCTTCTAAAGCTTAAAGTTTAAAAAATTCCAACATGAAACTAACGCTCGTTTAATATGGTTGTTAATTACACCAGGGGGTGAACAATAACTTCGCGAAGTCAACCTGGAAATTCCAGAGTTGATTTGGCGCAAAAGCAAATTACTTTATACATATACACTTATTTATGTGCATGTAACATAAGGGCTTTCTTTGTTTACGCAAATATCTCATTTACTTTTGATACATATGTATGTGACCCTATTTTATAAAATATTAATTTTAGCGTTGTGTTTGTTTTGCTTTTTATTCAAACAACCTCAAAAACGGCAACTTAATACGTGTATGCTTAGTATGAACCGTACTTATGTGGTTTCATTTATCCTTTATTTGAATGTATACCTACTAATACAAACGTAAAAATTTCCTTCAAGCAAATTTTGTTTATATCTAGGTAGGTATTTGCTAGAATCCCTTGTTGTAATTTTCTAAGTCTCATACTATTACGAAATAATAAGTTCGTTCATGCAAGTAAATTCATATTGCAAAGTTTACCTAGCTGGTTGTTTTTCAAAATATTGAAATTGCAACTCAAAACACTCCGATGGTTTATTCCCTGTTCCATTGAAATCATACAATTTATAAACTTGCTCCGTAAAATCGAAACTTCCGTTCATGAATATTTATATAAATTCAAATATCCTACTTCAAATGTCATATGTCACCGACCTATCCCGGGATAAATACATTAATAAAATGGGTTCTTTTCTTCAGTGGAGCAACTGTCAGAAACACAGACAAATTTAAACGACCATCGAAGGGGATCCCAGTCGAGTTCGAAAGTTTTCTTTCAACTTGTACTATCAGGATGTAATTCGTTAGAAATTAAACATCTCTGCTTTGTTATTTTGATTTCCCTAAGCTTCAAACTGAATGAAAGTGAACACTCGTCTTAATTAGTCCGATATAACAAACATCCGTCCCAATTAATTCGCCGTTTGTTATGTAACAAGTATATGTATAATTGCTATATCAACATATTGCACATACGCATTGCATTGATTGTCTTAGTCACCCCGAATTCAGTTTGCAATATTCAATGCAAGCGTCCTAGAGCAGGCGAATACCTAAGCGTAAGTACAATTGGTAAGGCAGGGTTATCTGTGATTGGATAATGGATAGACTCCGGCACTCAAATTCAAATATTAACATTCGTAATACCTAATCAAATCCTGGTTATTATTATTAGGTTCACGTATTAGATATTGCATTCACACATTGAATGTATCATTCAATTCGCCTACCTAGTATCTACGTAAAAATGAGTTTGAATTATTTGGATTGGTATCTAGTAATAAGGAAGAAAATTATCAAACCCATTACCTAAGCTGTTTTGTACATTGGTACATATAAACCCAATTAGCTATCATTTCAAACGAATTAATCTCAATCCATTAATTAGGGCATTCAAAATCTACTATTATTATACCTATCTAAACGGGATAACTTCTAATCCCAAAATATATCTCTCGTAATTGTTAGTGATGATCTCGTTAATTGGATATATAGCGAAATCATTATTTAACGATTCGAGATAAGTAGTAATAAATAATGTTTGATTTAGAATAATATTTCGCTTTAGAAAGAAGAGAGGATTATCGACTTTCGGGTCCAAAGCAATTAATATTAACTCTCGTCGTGATAAAATGTTGTGACCAGCACGCCTACACGCTTTAATTATATGTTTGAGCGATAAACGAATATCCTTTCGTCTTTAATAATATTACCAAATATTTGCTGGGCTCCTGGAGAAAGGTAGAATTAATGGAATGTTGCCGTAACGCATTTTATCCCTTATTGCATAAATTGAAGCGGATAGATATTAATGTCTAGATTTTACATAATATTAAATTCAGGATGTGCTGGTTCGGCCGGAATTTTCCACTGATGCAGAATACAAAGTGCGAAAGGGATAGCAGGGTTCGTGCGGGAAAAGGGGATTGGCCGTTTACGGTTATTTTTGTCGAGAAGAAGCAGCTTGAATTAATGGATGCGGAATTTCAATTTTTCCATAAAAATTTGTCGGAAGCTTATCCACTTGCAACTCGGAAATGTCTGAATAAATAACTCTCCTTATAACGTGCTAGTCCCATCAGGACAATGTTATCGACTTTCACTTCAATATTTGTATAGCTTCGAAAATTGTGTGGGTAAAAACGTATGACGATTTTTACTGGCACAAGCATAAAGCGACTACAGGAACAACCTTTACGGCTTGAAAGTTTAATTCTAGATCACATACGTTCGGAATAATTGATAAGCAAATTGAGGCGCAGCTGGGGCTTCTCTGCACCGAACGCGACGGGAATCTTTAGATAATTTTATATGCATTGCCGTCAAAATCGAAACACTGCCAAAAGTTTCGCATTATCGACTCTATACAAAATGTATTTAAAAGATTTAACATTAATTTAAAAATGCATTGAAAAATAACAAGTGAATAAATAGCCGGTTGGAATTCCAAGTCGCAATGTAATTACTTACTTTAAAATAGAAGTTTTAAAAATAGAAACTTCCTATCATTTCAAACTTTTTGAATATATAAAAGTAATAATATGGTCATTGATCCTAGTTCTTCGCTACCTAATACAATAATAATTCACAATTCTTTTTTTAACATTCGATTTTTTTAATCTCTTACGACATTTGCATATGAAGCTAAATGAAGAAGTTGCATGTTTCAAGCAGAGCGGAATGGAAAATTAAAACCGAATATGCATTTAATAATACATCTGCCTCTTGCATTGGAATTTCTAAAATTGTAGTTACTTTTATTAGCACGGCATAATTAAAAAATTACAAAGTATTTCAATCGTAATTTAATTGCCCATACCATTGCGAATGAAAGATGTGCATTTTATGTTTTTCGAAAACGTAAATTGTATTCACTTTGTCGCTCGAAATGGCCGCGTACTTGTGTCGAATGGTTATACTCCATTCGCACATTATTTGTGTCCCAAGCGTTTGTGTTACTATAAATAATTTCGCCCTGCATTTAATGATTTTGGTAACCTCAATGTCACTATATTTTTATAATACCAATATTTAGTAGTCTTCCAATAATGCGAATCTTAAATAACATTCTACTGGGCACCAAATATGGCGCGAATGGAGTATAAGCATTGATGTTCGTTGGTTTCAACATTATACTGTTGTTGCTCGTTTTATTTCAAAGTTACGGCTACACTACAAAACAGTCTGTTCTTTATTTCTTCGAAACTTCTACTATAACTGATGGCCATTGTGTTGTGTGTGTTTGTTTTAATTAACTTTTTTTTTGATTCGGTTTGATAACGTATCGGTATTGTTGGTCAATTTCGTGCTCGTTGACGGGATGTCGGAAAACTGCGGACTTTTTAAATTGATTGGAAAAAGGCATAATTTATAGTGTAGCGAAAAAATGTCATTTTTCCGTGGAAAACTTTTTCTAAAAGCGAGTTTTTCATTGCGTTGCATACAGGATAATGATAGTGTAAATGGAGAATAGACATTTTAGATTAGTGCAACTGCATTTACCTTGTTGAACTCCTTTAAAATGCAGCACATTCCAACTTAAATAGCAAACAATAATCCACTTCTACATAAATTAATTCAGCGAAATATGCGCTAGTATTACAAACTATCGCCGGAGTAAGAGTATTGAAGTTTGCTTGGCTGAAATTCCCCTAATTTTCCACATTGTTCCGGAATACACCTACCTAGTATCATACTTTATAAAACAATAGACGAGGCGTCGGAGACGGCGGAAAATATTAATGTTCGAGTTAGAAAATTACCCAACAATGAATAGCAAATTCATGCGATATTTCTTGATTAGGTACCGAAAAAGTGACGGACCTGTTTCGTCAAAACGAAATCGATGGGTGGTGCATGTAAAAAGATAATTGGGAGCGCGTCGGTTGCGGTATAACGATGCCTCCATTCAAGATGGTAGAAATCTAATCAATGCGAGATTGGATTTCGCAAATTCGATTGCCGTGTTAGATTAATAACTCATCCGATTTCGTGCACTAAAAAAAGACATCGAGCGGGGATTATGCCAGCGCAAAAATTCGATTGATTTTCTGAATAACTAAATTCCCGTGAAAAGTTTCCAGTCCAAACTTCGTTTTAATGCGCTTATCGAAAAACTCTCTTTTTCCCATTTTTTTGCAAGTGTAATTAGTTATTAAAACGCGAATATCCAGTGAAAAATAATTTGTTGGACGGAGCTTTAGCGAATTAATCAAAAATTTAATTACATTTAAAAAAAGTAGGTTGTTGATTATACTAATTCATGTATATTAAGCCAAATTGGTTATTTAAAAAGGCTTCTTCTAATGTTTAAATAACAGCATCTTGTAACCGCAAATGGCACTTTATCGATTCGGATTTTGTACCTCAACTGCCAGAGACATGACATGAACACAATCATCGAAATGTAAAGGAAACAATAATCCGCCTTGGCACGCAATAAAACGTGAAACAAGTTTTCAGCGCGGGTCTTCATACGACGAATCTCAGAGAAATAAAGCGACTGTAACCGGTATAAATTTTATGTACGGACAAGCAAAAGCTAAAATGTGTACAAGTAGCTAAAGCATATTATGATATAAGACCAACAATAAGTAAGCTCAGAGGAATTTTTAATATATGCTCTTTTTTATCTATATTATTAAGAGAAATTTATCAATTTACGGGAAAATAAATAATTTATGTCGTTGAAAAATTGGACATACATATGCATGAATATATTGGAGTAAAAAAACACGTTAATTGGTGCCTTTTTGGGTTATTAAATTATGGCGGATGAGCTTACGCTCGCCAATTTTATTAAATTCGATCCTCAATCAAAATATACACGAGTAGGTATAATACCTTTTTTACATTAATTGATTAAGTTTAATGACTGGCTCAGTCATCTGAATTAGATCGATTGGTTTATTTGATTTGTAGATATTGATTTTGAAGAATTAATACAGATACCTATACATGTTTTGAAATTACCAATTATATGCTACAATCGAATCAGCATTTGAAAATGTAAATTCGTATTGTTTACTGGGAATAGCGAGAAATTCAAATAAACACAGTACTGTATTTCGAAACATAATGGATTCGAGAGTTACCAATTTTATCCGATATAATTATTTTCTTTTTAATTATAATTAAGAAATTAACCGCTTTTTAGATGTGCCCTTCTGGCGTTTGAATTAATAATTTTCAAGATATTGTAATGTGCAAAATGAAAATCCTTTGGAGACTAAAACGTTCCTTAGTTTTAAGGAAAAATATTTCGCTCCTTACGGGTAGGCTATATTAAATTGTCTGCATGATAAAAGAAGAATGTTTGTTAAAAATTTAGGAAGAATCTAATTAAATTTTTTGGAATTTCTACCGGGCAATAAAATTAAAAATTCGTCCTCGATATTCGCGACAAATAGTTCGATATTTCCACGATAAAGCTACACGCGAAGTTAATTGCGTTTTACTTGCCTTATCGCGATATAAACTTATGTACCTTCGATGTTTTTAATCATATCCTAAATCACCATTATTACGAATTATGTTTTATTCAAATTTCATTTTATCCTACATAATATATACTATAATTTACGTGAATAATATTATGACTGCAATTTCCAGTAATAAATAAAATGCATTACATCGATTCACATTACATCAGCATTAGCATACATTACCCATAGTTGTAAAAATATTACTTTATTCTCCTCATTTAACCTGAAATATTAAAAATTATATTGCCTATCAGACAATTGAGAAAAACATTCTTTTCGTTATATTTACCGACTCGTTTTTCTTTAAACCATCATTGTGCGAGCCTAATATAGCCACCCGTTAAACAACATTACTCATACACACCCTTAGCGTAGCTTTCAGCGCTTTCTGTTTTTCGTATGATCGTCCTACATGCTATTTAGTCGAACTTATATCGCTTGTTATTAACCGCCTACGCGTTGATATTCCCGCGGTGTCGGAGGAAGCGCATAAATTTGTCACGGGTTTGTTCCCATGACGCAATGCCTGCGAAAATTTATTTTTATCTTCGATTATTCTGTTCCGATATACACGCATAATTAGATATGTTACAGTTACATTTTATATGCTGATGGGTGTTGATTTAAGACGCGGTAGAAGGGAACTGAAAATTAGAAAAGGACTAATTTTAACTACTTGTTGAATAAACAAGCACTAATGTATTCTCCTAAAAATAAAAGAAAAAACCTTCCATTCGATTAAATCGAATTGACGAGCTAGTTAGATTTATTATTCTATTGAAGAAACTGCGGGGGCAGACGTTATATTATTATAACCCATTTATCATTTAATCGATTCGCACGAAGTAACGGTAATCCGAGAACCGTCCGTTTTTTGTTGCTCCAATAGCATTTCCTTCATTTAGATAAAGTTGCAAATCGAGTCTAAAGCTTTTAAACTAGCTTTTTCCGTCCTAGTTAATTAATCACTTCTACCCGTTTCGCGACGTCATTTCAGGCTGTTAGCGATGTCTTTCGCGGACATAGGTCGGGAGGATATCTGCAGTTGATTGGAATTATAGTATGACGGTTTTTCGAAAGGAACATTTCAGCTAACAGTTGCGAACAAAGCCGGAGCACGTTCTCGATATGCAAAACTCTTGATGATGTATCGTAACTTACTTGTAGCGCAGAATCTGCAATTTCTATCTACTATATCTCTACTAAGTAATGACATTTTTGAGCGAGCGCTTCGAGTTTTAATAGAATGAAATAGGAGGCAGGAAATTCATGGATTTATACTTTTTTCTCGAAATTGACATCCTGTAAATTTTACGTTTTGGGTAATAAAAGACATGCTAATTTATTTTTCTCGTGAGTCAATATCGCTTGTAAAGTTATAAAATGATATAAATTCGTTATAAAGACGAAGAGCCAGGTATCATTGAATGGATTTCTCAGCGAAAATAATTATTAATGGACTTATAAATCAGAGCTTGTTTGAGTCCTTTGTCTTTTGACATGGCCTAGAGGGTACAGGGCGTAGGTCTGCCAGCGGAAGGGACAGGCGAAAGGTGAGCTTGGAGCTTTAAAGAGAAACGAGCCGCAGACTCGCTTTCGTTCGTTACCCGGCTCGCATTGTTTTCGTACGAAATTAATGATATTTTGGTGTAGCTTTTTTTAATTATTTTTTCTAAATAAAAATCAAATTTGTCGCACATTTAAAGTTACGATCAATTTCAATTAAAATCGCATCTACCGAAATTGCAGATGTTGCTTTTATCCTAAATCCATTACACTCAAATTCGTTTACAATCGGGCGAAGTCCTTTAGTGCAGAATGGATTTAAATCAGTTAACCTATTTAAAGCTCCAACAAAAATTGTCCTTTGGAACTGGTGAATAATTGCTCTTTTGTAATGAGAATAAAAAAAAGTAACTATTACCCAGATTCTAGATGGTGTGCATTCAGATAATATAATAATTAGACACTATCTGTTCCGTATAAAGCAATTAACTTCAGTAGCATAGAGTTTTGTAATTCAATAACCATCCGCCAAAATTGCATCCTTTCAGCCGTATTATAAAATGTGTATAGGTAACAGGATGTAATTATATTCCAAGTTAGGTAATTTCACATCACGCCTTACTTATTATTCTCACGACCACAATTTGATAATAAATTCCGGCATTTAATTAAAACAAAAGAACATTCCAAAGCAGTAAATTTCCTTTGCGCATTTCGGTAGTTCGTGAAAATGAAAATTAAAAAGTGGGTTTCGTCGCCGGAAAAATGTATAAAAGAAAATTACGTCAGAATAAATAACCCGTTCCTCGTAAAGATAGGTATCTATTTAAAGTTTAGGTTGCGCTGCACAAATTGGATAATTAGTTCTTTTTGACTTTTGTCCCTATAAAGAACGGATTATTACCGAAAAAAAAGAGAGTTGTATAAAGATTAGGTACGTTAATTTTTCTCGGGATTTAAGTGGACAATTAATCCCGGCCGCTTTTTCGCCCTCGACGTTTTCAAGACAAAGGAGAAACAGCGCCGGAATGGAAATAATATTTTCGCCTTTATTCCAGATACCAACATGACGACCGAAGCGGCGGATTTTTCCAACGACACATTCTACTTCTACACGACTCCCGTGTGCAACTGCTCGAATTGGACTAAAATCGATGCGCTGGATCAAAAGGAAGAGAGTAACTGGTGGGCTTTGTCCGCCTTGGGCTTAGTGGTAGGCACCGCCGCCGGGAATATTCTAGTCTGTTTGGCTATTTGCTGGGAAAGGAGGCTCCAAAACGTCACCAACTATTTTCTCATGTCTTTAGCCATAACTGATCTAATGGTGGCTATTTTGGTCATGCCCCTCGGGATCTACACCCTGTTTCGGGGTAAGTGAATCTTTAATTTTTACGTATAGACAAGAATAATGGAAGTTCAGGTGGAATCTGAAAATTTTATGAGTCCGGAAAACCAACACAATCTACCCTATTAATCTAAATTCGTCAGAAATAAAAATTCGTTGCGTTAAGCTTTACCTACCTGCCAATAACTTATTACTTTTAGTTCTACGTGTAAACTTCATTACAATATCGAAGCTTCAGTGACATAAAAACGATAAAAAATCCGTATCAATTATAGAAGCTTTTTACTGAAGGGCACAATTCCTTTACATCACGGCCTATATGCATGAAACTACTGCTGCTGGGATAAATAAAAAGCTTTCGAATTAAAAGTGTATTCAATACAAAGGCGCCGAGACGGCACGACGAAACCGTATTACCCTAGCTATCAGATCATGCTTCGGTAAATGGATTTAATAAATTACGTGCCTTCGTATACACTGTGTATAAAAAGAAACGAAAATAGCTCCTCTAAACGTGTGCATGAGAAATGTTATTATAACTCGCAAAATAAATCAGCCTTCGCGAAATTAAACGTCCCTTTTAAAATTGCGTAATAATTAAAAGTTTAGCGTGTACATGCGGCTACATAAAACTAATCCCTGCATTGGGATGTGCATACGTTTATAGATATGCAAAATTAATGGACTGTTGGGTGAATTAATAGAGAAATGTTCGTCGACACTCGTGTTTGCGGAAATAAACTGGCTCGCATAAAAATGTACGTAAACATGAAAATGAAGTCAGGATATAAATAACAGAATAGAAATAATAATTTTACTACGTAAACCGTGAATGCGGATAATAGGTAGGTGTTTATATCTCATTTCTGTAATAGTTTAACGCACGAATGCTTATGCGGTGTAATAAACGATGTTCGTATTAGTCTTGTGGTTATATTATATTTAGGCTGTTAAACATATAATCATAATATATCATGAAACGATGTATACCTTAAAATTTTTATTCGGTGGTATTGAATAAATTGTGAAACGTGGCAACATTGCGATATGTCAACTTTGGTGACGTTATGTAAATTTCAACGCTAATGTAGCGTATGATGAATTTTTACCTTTATCAAGCGTTCTCTTCTAGCGGATTGATAAAAACCCGGAAAAATAAAAAAATATCCATTAACAATTTGATTAACAAATTACGAAAGGCTTTTATTCGGCGACAGCGAAAGGAAGTGGAAACGTTTTTCGACAGAAAAATACACCCAGCTTTAAATTCAAACCGCAAACGTGTATTATTATTCTTTTGATGATTCGCATGAACCATTGTTGTTGGCTTGATGAAAAATGTTCTGTCATTTGGCAGAATTGTGTTCCCGGCCATGAAAAATAATAACAATTCCAGCACCGCTATTTTGCTTTATGTGAAAATCGTGTTTGCTCTTAGTGTTTCGAGATTGATTTTGTCCTTAAAGGCTACTCTCCCGGCTCGATGAAGATGATGCGCTATTCGAAAATTTATAACGAGCGAACTTAATAACGGTAATTTTTACCCCGATTTATTGATACCTGCACCCGTTGAAATAGAAATGTATTACGCCATTAAGTACTCACTCGGTATGGCGACGTTCGAAATCCGTCATTTAATGCTTTTGAGTCCCGGGGATCAGCCTCTCGAGATGAATGAGTTGGGATCATCACGTGTCAGGCAATTTAGCTCTAATATCGTGATTCTTGGATAAGAGTACGGAAATCTAACGTTGCTGTCATAAATTAGACGAGAACATCGACTTACTCCAGGATATTTGCTGCTTGCGCTAATGCTCGGAACGTTACCTGAATGGAAATGCGGGGATTCAGTTTCTTTCCTCGGTTATCTATACGTTTTTGTTTCACTACCTTGGGGAGGGATAAAATAAATTAGGTGAAAAGCGACGGATGAATAGATTTATTCACCAATACCGTTGCTTTTTTGCCTTGAAGAAGTGCAATTTAACTGTCTTGATTCGCATGTATCAGGCATCCAATTTCTATTATATTAGACGTATACATACTTGTAATATGGCCGCAGAACATTTTTATCTAAAAAAAAAAGTTATAGCTACTAAATTTCCAGTGAAAATAGGTTGGGTCACAAGGAATAATTTACGATTCACGCCATTCTGAACATCATGTGTAGTTTGTTCCATTTCGTATTACACGTGCTCTGCTATAAATCAAAAACTTTATATTTTAAAGGATAAGTTTCCTTATCCTCATGACTAGAAAGTGGAATTAATACCGTGAAATATCACTTCAACTCAAATAGTATGGTTCTATAAATGATGTAATCTTTAACATATTTTCAACTTTTCCACTAAAAATTGTTAGTTACAACTCTAGCCCCAACAGTGTACTCAAAAAAATATTCTGAACAATTAGGGCGTAATTACCGCATGAAATGTAAAATAACGAGTGCCCGGCGAGTGTTCTAATTAATCATCGCGAAATTTCTAGCCGAAGTACCATTGTGATGAAAACTGGTGAAACCGTAGCATTCGGAAATTTTCATTTAGCAGCTCTTAGACACGATTTGTAAATTTGAAGTAAGAGAAAGCACTCGATTATATCGTTGAGGCCGGAATGAAAGCTCGCAGCTTATTAGTAAAGCGGACCGTTTTGATAATTTTGCGGAATAATTTTATTTCGATTTTATGCTGAATAAATACTTTACCAGAAAACTGAATTTATCTGTTAAAATATTCAGCAATTTACATCGAATGAATTCTAGCGGAAAATTGCATTGGTATATTTTCTTAATGTAATTTTACTCAATTACACTATCCATTCCATATTGAAATTAGTCGGGAATTAAAATGAAAACATTAATAAATAGTACATTTAAATATTAATAAAATTTATGTTTTATTCAAATTTGAATACCTACACAATTTATACCAATTTTAATACGTTCTTGTCTATCACTGGTAAAATTTGGGTCAAATTAAGTCGAGTTAATGAAAAGTAAAAAGTTCCTAATTTTTATTTCAATTAAATACCCCTTAAATACTTCACTTGAGGGATCTTCAATTTGAATCCCACTAAATGAAAGGAACAATAAAATTACTTAGATACCTACATCTTAAAGCACTTTCATTTATAAATGCTCGGGTGAATAATAAGTAATCATTAAAGGCATTAAATTTTTAATGAACAACTAGGTAAGTTTCACTTGCTCGTTTGCTTGGTCATTAATTTGCTGTCTTTCGAATTTTCCAAATCAAATCTCTTATGAATAATTCTCGGGACGCGCCTTTCGATTGATAGGCCTCTCGAGAAATTTCGCCCACCACTTTCCCCGACCTATTTCGGATAGTAAACTTCGGGGTTAATCCTGCTAATTTGCCTTCTTCAAATCCCTTGTTTAAGTGCTTATTGAACTCTATCTGCCACGTTTATGTTCAGAGAATTTAATTACTCGTTTTGAGTTTGAAAATCATGAAAAGCAGAGAGTAATTTTCTTTGGAATTTCCTTTTAGAGAAATTATAATGGTAGGTATACTCATTCATCACTGAAATTGCAACTAATAGTAATAAAAGCGTATAAATTTGGGATAAAATGCAAATTAGGTAAACATAGTTAAATTTTAATGGTTGAATAGGAAAGTTTATAAAATATTCAGTATCAATCGTTGTACTTACGGTTAGCTTATAATTTCGAACTCATGAAAATTGCTGCCATTGGAGGAAAGGGTGAATTTAATTAAAATGTGTGGAATGCGAATATTTATAATTAATATCGACTAAAACCATTGGAAGAATTAAATTTCTTTTTACGATTTTTAAATTTGACTTTACACCTGGATCTACTGAATTTATTATCAAATCCACCCCAAATGAAATAGAAAACATTCGCTCGTTCCGCCGGTAATTTTGTTCAATTTGTTCCGGAATTTCTACTTCACTTATTGCCGCAATCAATTTAGCTTACCTTAACAGATGAATTACGGCTTGTTACGTCAATTTCACTTTTCTGGTAGAAGTTGATTTATGCCTAACCATTAATATTCTAAAAAAATATGTATAGAATAAGAAAACTCATAATTAGGTACCTGTTTATTCCGCTTTTTAAAATCCGATAAAATGCATCAGGTTCGAATGAAAATCTCCTTGTTGTTAAACACATTATCAGCGTTTTGGGTTAATTTGCACATTGTACATTTCTGGTATCTGGAGTAACCCGAAATTCGATCCATTCAAATAATGCTCGCAAAACAAAACAATATCTAATTTGTTCTACCCGTTCATCCGTATCGCTTAATGAACCGATTACCAGGCATTCGCATTGTTCCGAAGGATGAGTTTACAGGACTGTCTCTACTCTTTAGAGGTTTTACCATTGCATCTAATTTGCACGGGCTAAATTACACGAACAGTATGTTTAGATAATTAACCAGTACATATTAAATTCCGTGTTTGGCTAATACGGTGAATCCATTTGGAAACAAATAAATCACTGTATGATGACTCGCAATCATATAATTCAAGGGGCTCCGCTTATTATTCATAAACTGTCAAAATTCAAACGTGTTTCGCATGAAAGCAATAAAATTAAATTTAATATTCATGACTATGTGATAATGTGTTAATGCCTTATTTCTCCGCTTTATTGCCTACATCTTTCTAATATCTTCTTGTAACGCATATAAATTGGGTGGGTAATAATACCTGCTTCGCATTAAGGTGGTACGATTAAATTATTTTTATAAAAATTGCTTTTAATTTTACTACCGCGGGTAAGCTATAAATTGCGGATATTATAGAGAATTAAAGTTTTGTAATTGTAAAACGTGATTAATTCTGACAGACTAGTTGCAAGATTGCAATCTACTTAAAAAATACAAAAACCCAAAATATCTCAACGAATTTCCGTGATTAAAGAGAACTAAAAGATTGCTTCAGAGTGATTAAATCGCTTAAATTAAGAGTGATCTTGTAGAGTAAATGATACAAAATAACGACGAATATCAATTATCATTATTGCTTGTGTCTATT